CTCTCCTCCTCCTCCTTACTCTCCTCCTCCTCCTTACTCTCCTCCTCCTCCTTACTCTCCTCCTCCTCCTTACTCTCCTCCTCCTCCTCCTCGTCCTTGTCCTCCGTCTCGGCCTCCTTCAAAACGGCATCCACGGCTTCCGACCACAACTCGCCGATGCGTCCCCGGAGGTGCGCCTTGGCCACAGAAACGGCCCTGCCACTCCAGAGGTCCACGCCGGCCTCGTCCATGGCGACCGACAAGTTATGCAGGAAGTGGAATATCCTCGGCGACGGCTGCACCGGCAGCTCCGGGTCGCCACCCTCCCAGAGCACGCGCCCGACCACCACCCTCTGCGACAGCGCCTCCGAAGCGAGGGTTTCCAACGGGCCCGAAAACACCGTAGCCGCCAGCTTGTCGTGCAGGGACGGCACCATGTCCAGCCCGAACTTGCTGATCGACTCGGCCTCTTCGTCCTTCTTCTCCTCCTCCTCCTGCTGCTGCTCCTGCCGCTGCTTCTGCTTCTGCTCCTGATGCTGCTTCTGCTTCTGCTGCTTCGGCAGGCCTGCGCGCACGTCCCGGAGCACGCGGAGCAAGTACATAGCCACCTGCCCGCCATCCGCCGCATCGGAGCGAGCCCGCCACAGCTCGGCCAACTGCCGGTTGAGATCCGCAAACGCCTTCGCCAGCGCGGCGCCGAGCCTCTCCTGCAGGGCCCGCGGGTCGTCCCTGCTCAGGAGCTGCTGGCGCTCCTCGATGGTCTCCTCGTCCTCGATCATGTCGTCCGAGTCGTTGTCCCACCGCTGCTTCCTCAGCTCGTCGACCACGTCCCCGACCTCGTCGACGACGTGCTTCCACGACGTGAAGCAGTTGAGGGCGCGGGAGACGGCGTCGCTCCGACCGTGGGCCTGCGCGACGAGGTGCCGCAGGAACATGTCCGGCCCGGCGGCCAGGTCGGCGTCGAAGCGGGACACGTCCCAGAGCGAGCTGCCGCTTTGCCTGGCCGCGACGCCTGCGCCGGCGCCGTCCTGCCAGGACTCGAGCGCCGCGGATACTTCGGCCGCCACGAGGTGCAATTTGTGCACTTTCGTCTCCAGCACGTGGAGCATGTGGCTGTTGATGGCGGCGCGGAGCGAACGCAGCATCTCGGACGGGTCGAGACCCCGCGCCTTGGCGCCGTCGCGGATCCAGAGCCGCAGGACCCTGGTGCGGAGCTCCGTGATGGTCTTGAATTCGGTCATGCGCGATAGGGTGGTCGCGAGGCCGGCCAAGACGACTTGCGCGCCTTGCTCGGCCCATGTAGAGAGCCCGTTGCGCGCGAAGGGCCCGTCGATGTCGTCGTGCCGGATGAACGGCGTGAAGAAGCGGATGTCCTCGCCGCACCACTTGTCGTACACGTCGAGCCGCAGGCCTTCCAGCGCCTTCAGGGACTCGTCGGCTAGCAGCGGCCGCTTTTTCAGTTTGGCGAGGGCGTCTGCCAGTTTGGACGGCACGAGGGCCTGGACGTCGAGGATGGTCCTGGTATAGAGCGTCAGGCTTTTGAGTACGTCGTCGCAACAGCTGCTGCTGTTGCTGCTGCTGCTGCTTCTCTGTCGTCCGCTGGGTTCCTCCTCGTCGACGTTGAAGGCCGTAGCCACGGCCTCGGCCCGGACGCGGAGGAAATGCTGCAGGACGATGCGCGCCCCCGAGCTGGTAGCCAGGCTGTACGCACACAGCGCCTTGAGCACGTCCTCCTGGGCAGCAACGCCCTCCTGCGCGGCCCGCTCGAGAAGCTTGTCGATACTCCGGTGTAGCCGCCTCTTAAGGCCCTCGAGGTTCTTCCTCGCCGTCTCCACCGTCGCCTTGACGTCCTCGTCCATCCGCGCGTCGTCCTCTTCCCCGAGCCGCTTCCCCAGCAACCTACTCAGGACGAGAACCTTGCTCGCCAGGAGAAGCCTGTCGCCCCGCCCCCGCTTCGGTCCCAGTCCCGCGCCTCCTGCCGTGACGAGAGCGGGCCCTCCGCTTTTCAGTATACGCGAGGCGACGAGACTGCACGCGTCGTACAGCTTCGCCCGCGCCACGACGCCCGCGGATGCGTATTCGGAATCATCGGACGACCCCCCGCGGGACGAAGAGAAGGTGCGTAAACCGGACACCTTGCCCGCCACGACGGCGCGGCCGCAGCGGGCACCCATGCCGCCCAGCAGGGCTTGGAGGGCGTCGTTGTCGGTGCGCATCTGGACGATGGCGTCGGCGGTGCCCAGGAGGTCGCGGTAGGAGGAGCCGACCTGGGTGCGCAGGCGGGATGCTTTCTCTTCAATCTCGACATGGAGGGCTTTATGGATTGCGCGGATCTGGGGGAGGGTGTGGGTTGAGGAGAAGACGTCGGCGGAGGAGGTGAGGGTCGAGACGTCGAGGCGGGAAGACGCCATGGTAGGCGGCCTGTCGGAGACTTTGTATGATTTCGATGGGGTCGGACTTGTTATGGAGGAGACATTGAGGCGGTTTATTTGTTGGTTCCGAGGGAGGGGGCTGGGGGTAGTTGCTTGTTTTGTCGTGATATGAGCGGTGATGTTGATGTTGCTAAAGGTTAAGGTACGGAGTTGAAGCTCTGGTCGTTGAAGTTGTAGCCTTGTAGGTACGATCGCCAGGTGGTGACAGCTGGCACAGCCTCCTCTGATGGACAAGGTACAGCGCCCGGCAAAAAGTATTTGAATACACCTATGTACTATCGACCCATTAAATGTCAGGCTGAGGGCCTATGGGCTTACTATCTAGCCTTAAATACATAGGAGTGTTCAAACACTTATTGCCCCCCACTGTATGTTCACGACTACGGAGAAATATGGTGATGTAAAAAGAGCCACTTCACTTACGAGGAAAAAGAAAAAAAAAAGAATGGTGGACAGACACATGGTATCTTGAATAAATCTCCTACAACTTCCTCGAACGAACAACATGGGTCGAAATACCCGACAACTCGCCGCCATACCCGCCCCTTGGCTCCCCCCCCTTGAACGTGGCCTTCATGCTGCGCAGCTTCTTCTGCTTGGCATCGTACTGCATCTTCTTCTTGACGCGCGGGTTCCGGTTCTCCTTCTTCCGCCGCGGCGCCAGGCCCTTGTTCTTCTCGATGGCGTACGTGATCCTGCGCTTGCCGTCCTCCCCGACCACCTCCCGCTCCACCACGCGGTCCGCGGCGCTGGCCGCCGCCAACGCCGCCCTGCGCGCCGCCTTGTCCTCCTTTTTCTGTTTCGACTTGCCCGCCACCATGTCGTAGTATTCGTCGTCTTCGTCCCCGCCGCGGCGCACCGCCGCCGTGTCGTTTTCTTCGTCGTCGTCGTTGCTATCGCCATCGTCGCCGCCCAGGTCGGCACCGAACTTCTTGCCCCTGCGCTCGGCCTCCGCGTTGAGCCGCGCTTGCCTGTCCCTGAGCCGCTCGCGGTAGGGGATGTCGGTGTCGCCGCCGGCGTCGCGCCCCGCGTCGGCGCGGCGGTTGGCTTTCTGGACGATCTGCGAGGTGTAGAACCGCAGGCTCTTCTTCCGCGCCGCCTTGTCCTGGGCTGTCCGGGCGTCGAGGTAGTCCTCCTCGCCAAAGTCGGAGTGGTCGTCTCCCTCTTCGGTGGTAGCGTTGGCATTGCCGTTGCCGTTGCCGTTGAAGTCGGCCGCCGCCTTGGATCTCTTCTGCTGTGACCTGACGAGGTTGTCGAGGTCGGCGAGGGACTCTTCGATCTCCTCGGCTCTCTTGTCCTTGGCCTTCTGGACCTTGTCTTTGGCCTTGCGCTGCTTCCTCTCTTGTTGCAGTCTGTGCCGTTCCTCTTTTGTGTGCCGAGCCGTGTTCAGGCCGTTGGCTTCCGCCGGCTCCATGTCCATGGACGGCAACTCGTCCTTGCATACGGTCTGCACCCGGCCGAGCCTCTGCCACGCGTTACGGCACGACACCAGCGTCTCCATGACTGCGTGGTCCCGGAGTTCCGAAGGATGGAGGGTCTTGCGTGTCGTGGTCGTCGAATCGTCTCGGGAGGGTGATGTCAGGATGGCAAAGTAGCTGGCCAGGGCGGCAACGTAGCAGCCGAGCACCCAGTACCTGACGGCCTCGATCGACTTGCCCGGCTTCCCCAGGGCCTCCTTTTGCAAGATGGCCAGTTTGGGCTGGAGCTCCTGGAACTCGGCGACGAGGTACTCGAACTCCGGGTAGCGGGTGCGGAGCAGCTTCGCGTGGTAGTCGGGGGTCATGTCGTCCGTGATCTCGACGTCCCTGAGCACCTCGGTGACGACATCATCGCCGCCTTCTCCTTCTCCTTCCCCGTCGGGTTTGCTCTCTAGCCATGCGGTCTGGTCGAACAGAAAGTCCTCTTCCGTCATCTTGGAAAGCTTCTTCTGCTGTAGCCTCTTCGCCTCGGCCTCTTCCTCCAGGGCGTCGGCCTCGGTTTCGATCTGGTCGGCGTCGTAGTACTCGGTCTTGGAGTCACCCCACCAACCACTGTCCTCGACGTCTTGGCCTTGTTTTGTCTCGTCTTCATCATCCGAGTCTGCCGCTCCGCGTTTCCGACCGGCCGCCGCAGGTGCAGCTTTCCGGGACGGGATGTCTGCGTCCTCCTCCTCCTCCTCCTCCTCCTCGCTTTCATCTTCGTCGTCGTCGGCCAGGATTTCCTCCTCCGATAGCTCGAGAAACTTGTCTTCCTCATCCTGTCGCCTTCTCCGCTTGGACTGCGGTGCCTCGTCGAACATGATCTTGTCTCGGTTGATGAAGTATTCGTCTTCAGAGTTGGCGACATCTTCGTAGGTGGAGATGGGCCCTAAAAGGGCATCGGCGGGATCCACTTCCTTGGGGCCGCTCGGCTTCTCGTTGCGCCCGGAGGCCTTTCTTTTCTTGCCCATCTTGAGTGTTGTCAAGGGGTGACCAGCAAATGAAAGTGGTGGCGGAGAAGAGATGTGGCTCGCGCTGGGATGGATGTCAATGTCAATGTCGATGTCAATGGCGATAGGAAGGGGAATGGAGAAAAATCAGCTACAGAACTTTTTAGTGGGGCACCGATAAGTTCCGTCTCCACTTCGATGCATCTGGCCACAGTGGTTAGCGCAGCCACTATATGTGGCCTTGGGGAGTGACTTTCAACAAGTCAAATCGGGCAGAGTGCCAGAGTGGTTAATGGGTATGACTAGAAATCATATGGCTTCGGCCTCACAGGTTCGAATCCTGTCTCTGTCGAATCACTTAGTTTTTGCTTTTTTGTATGCTCCGTAAGGTATACTTTAGGGTACCTTTTTTTCTTTTTTTTTCTTTTGTTTCTTTTTTTTCTTTTGCTTTACTTTCGTACCCCTGACTAAGACGCCTCGAGTTCGTTTGCTGCACAGAGCACTGAAAATTGAACCCCCTAGCATTTCACCCCCACTGTCCGTTCATCCCCTTGCAGCTGATTTCTCAACACCCCCGACACAACTCTGCTTCTGAAAGTCGTCCGCAGCCCATCGTCCGCAAGTATGGAGAACACAGTGACCTATATCGGGATTGCAGTCTCATCTGTAGCTGCCCTCGTCTTTGCATACGCAATGGGTCTCTTTAGTTGGAAGAACCACATGCCCGTTGAGGGCAAGGTACGAGAATCTTTTGTTTCCACTGGGCCTGGCTCACGCTCACGCTTACACTGACCTAACTTTCCACAGACGATTCTTCTGACCGGTGCGTCGGAAGGCATGGGACGCAGCGCGGCTCTCAAACTAGCAGCGCGTGGCGCCAACCTTGTCGTGGTCGCCCGCAACGGTCAACGTCTCGAGGAGCTAGTCACCGAGCTCAAGGTCTGTTTCTCCTCTCCTCTCCTCTCCTCTCCCCTCCCTCTCCCCTTCCCCTCCCCCTTTCCATTTCGCAACCTTCCCGTGCACACACACACACACGCCCGATCTTTGTGCTAACCTCTGTCTACCCACGTCCAGGCTTCCGCAAAGAACCCCCAAACCCAGCGCTTCACCTCCCTCACAGCCGACATTTCCAAAGAGGGCTTCGCCGCCCCGCTCCTCGACAAGGCCACGGCGTGGAACAACGGCCGTGCCCCGGACATAGTCTGGTGCGTAGCCGGCATGGCCACCCCAGGCCTCTTCGCCGAATCCCCCTTCTCGGTGCTGCGCCGCAACCTCGACGTCAACTTTTACGGCACCGCCGAGCTCTCGCACGCCGTCCTGCGCGCCTGGCTCGCACCCGACGCCGACGCCGACGCCAAACCCAACCCCAACCGCACCGACGCCGCCGCCACCCCGAAACACCTCATCATGACCAGCACCGTGGCCGCCCTCTACCCGGTGGCCGGCTACAGCCTCTACATCCCCGGAAAAGCGGCCCTGCGCGCGCTCGCCGACACGCTGGCGCAGGAAGTGCTGCTCTACCCGGGGCGCGACGTCCGCGTGCACGTCGTGTACCCGGGCACGATCACCAGCCCGGGGTACGAGCGCGAGAACCTCACGAAGCCGGGGATCACGCACGAGCTGGAGGACATTGACCCCGTGCAGACGCCGGACCAGTGCGCCGAGGCGGCGATCCGGGGGTTGGAGGCCGGGCAGTACTTCGTCACGGTGGCTTGGCTGGGGCATCTCATGCGGTGGGGGGCTCTGGGGGGGTCGGTGCGGAATAACTGGGTTGTCGATACGCTCATGGGGTTGCTTACGCCTTTGGTGTTCGTCTTTGTGATTCCGGATATTTTTGGCAAGGTCAAGGCTTATGCGAAGAAGCATGGGCATCCGAGCACGTATATCAAGAACGTGCCCTCTTGAGGTGGGGGGGGGGAATTTGTATCCATACTGTTGTATTCATACGTAGTCATTGATACCCGCATAGATAGACCATGAGACGGCTGAAGAGGACTTGTGATTTGTTCGTCTCTGTTTATGGATTCCGATTCCCTGTGGTGATGTGGCACGTATATGAGGACTATGTACTGAGTAAGCCTAGTCCCTAGGGTCTATAGAAAGAAAGCAAAGGTGAAAAGGAATCCAAAAAGAAAGAAAGAAAAAATGCTCTCTCCGACGGGGAATTGAACCCCGGTCTCCAGCGAATTGTAGAACTTGGTGTTCCTTGACAAGCTGGCATACTAGCCACTATACGATCGGAGAATTGGCTCTTGGCTCGATGTGTAAAGTCCCTGGTACGGCGCTTTAGTTAGTCCGATGTAATTTTGCCCCACCAGAGACTTTCTAAACGTGTACAGTACCACCGAGTACCCTGCGGAATAGGTATTTACCTACCGGTACCTAGGTATCTATAAGTACCTTAGCTGTTACACGTTAAATGAAGCACCCGCGCATTTGGGGGTCGTCAACAAGTTTGCAGAGAGGGTTCCGAGCTCGGTTGCCTTACCCTTGCGCCCGCTACCACGTGTAGGTACCTAGGTATCCGACATGAATGTCGCATTCCCGAGGCCGTACGTCACGTGATAACGCGACAGGTTCGATCGATTCTATCGCATGCGACCATTCCTCATTTGGCCAAAACAGAACTCGACCATAACACATCTCTTCCTCTTCCCAGTCAACCGGTAATTACCTTAACTACTTTACAGCTACACGCACCTGTCTGTTGCATCTCCGAACCCAATCATGGGATGACCGGGAGGAATTTATGCGGCTCTTGCGAGCGGCAGAGCAGCGCGCCGATGAAGCAGAACGGCAGAGAGAAAGAAGAGCGAGAAACAACTCGACGGACACCACCCTCCCCGAATACATCGACGCCTGTCATACCACTGGTAAGGTATACTCTCGGTTTGCTATCGAGGCAAATCCTCCAAAAGGTCAAAAGGGCCCGTCGCCAACCCGCGAGACAAGTGGTGCCCTACCTACCTTCGACCATGGTCCGGTTTCTTCGATACGCAAAGCTCGCCATCAGATCATCCTCCGCAAACCAAACTCGATTACTTGGGTAACCACTTTTCTCCCCGCCCGCCACTTGTTTGTTAGGCACCATCTGTGCTAGCGGTCGCCGCACTGCCTCAAGCAGCACGGCACGCTCAAAGTCAACCAGCATTACCGTGTCTGTCTCCCGGTTGATCAGGGTATTTTCACTCCGTACGTCCCTGTGAACCACACCTTCCTCGTGAATCGCCCGCAGGGACTCGAGCAACTTGCGCTCGAGTGTCCTTCGCATATCGGCTGTCACCTCAATTTTATCAACATCATCGCCTCCCCATGATAAGAATGTCATGTGCACAATGTACACCCGATGGTCGTAGTAGTAGACCCTCTTTAGCGGCCGAAGATCGACGGCCCCAAGGAAGACGGGCACATGGATACCCTGGACCGGCTTGAGACGCTTATACACTGCCGCCTCATGCTCGAGGTCTCGGATAAAGGCCTGCACCGTCCCCTTGCATATAAATGTGTAACCGTACGCGAGAAGCGTCACCTTGAACAGGACCCCTCGTGCACCGTGTCTTCCCAGCTTCGTGATCCCGGCATCCAGTGACTGCCGCAGCTGTTTGCGCAAGAGTCGCAGCCACGTGGAATGGTCGACCGGATGGCGCGTGTGAGCGTGGCCTCGGGTTCTGCCATGAGATCCGCGGTGACGTGCACTGTCGGGGTATCTGTGGGATTCGATATTGGGGCATCTCGGATCGAGTGGGCTTCCTCCGACCAGACCGAGCAGACACGCTTGGGTACAGTACTGTCGGTCTCGGGCCGCTCCTTCTGGTTGTTGGCGTGCCAGGATTCTTTGACTTCTTCGGGGCTCCGTTTCGCTGCCCTGTCCTTGCTGTTCACGCCTTCTGCGCCGTTCGGCAGGGCTGGGGGTATCCGGAGGCCGCATTCCCGACTCATCGGACGATGAATCTGGCTGATCTCTTCGAATCGCATATTTTTCGTGCTCGTCCCCCTCACCCCGCCACCGCCGTGGCTGTCGTCGTGGTGGTCGGCGCCCGCCCCCCCCTCGAGGCACGGATGGTGACCGGTCCACGTCCCCGTATGTCGTTGGCGCCCAGCTCGACGAGCTCTCCGGCGCTTGTCGTTCCCCATCGGGAATCGACCGTAAGGTCGTCTCGAAGTCTTCTGTCCACCTCTTGAGGTCCACCATCGCTCGATCACGGATATCCTGCCCGGGCGCGCCTCGCTCTCCTCGGTTCACCAGGGCCATCAGGGTAAAGGCGAGGTATTGTCCCACCGCCGAACTGGACTGCATATATTCGACATGCGCCGTCACCTCCGGCCCGGGCTCTGCCAAATGGTAGTACAGCGTCTCGGGTGTGTCCCAGTCGATCTTCAGGAAAACAGTCGCCTCGCCCGTCGTCATCAGGCCATACTCGAGACCGCCCTCGATCATATAGTGATAGGTCTGCGCCAGCGCAGACGCCGTCAGCCTCTCAGCGTGATACTGAAAACGCCCCTCCGGATCCACAGATGTGGGAATGGTCTTCCGATTCACAACCTCCTTGTAAATGTCCATCTGCCGTAGACCAGCACGGAGGTGCGGAGCCGTCAGCTTATGGGGTGCCTTATACTCGGACACGTAGATCATTATCCGCTTCTCTAACGCCGTGTCGTCGTCATCTGATCGGTATACGCAGATTTGGTCAGGTCGCAGTTGGTTCACAACACCCTGTTTATGGTTTGGTGTTGGCAGCGATGTCTGCAGCGGCGTTTGCGGTGGCGTTGATGCGTTCTCTCGAGCAGCCACCACTTCTTCGGCGACGTCGCTAATAACGTGAGGGTGGTTCTCAAACACGATCCCGCTCCCTATATCAAAGGCGATGCGGGCATCCTCCACCTGCTTGAGCTGTTCCACAATCACCCGGACGGGATCTTCCACGCTGTTATGCATAAAGTACTCGAGCGACTTCTCGTCGGCGATCGATCGCTGCGAAACCCTCTTTCCCAGGCCGGTCAGGAAGCTTCGGCTCTCGAAAACCCGGGCCTCGGTGGGGAAACACTCGTATATCGTGTCAAAGACGCTTCTCTGTTGGTCCAAAAACTGCGGCCAGGGCTCGAGGCGAGATGGGCACAGCTTGTTGCGAGGGTTCGTGATGGAACCCCGTGAGGTGAGCCGCCTATCTCTTTCTACCCTGAGCTGGGAGAAGACGAGGCTGTGGCAGGCAGCGATGTACTCGTCCAGGGTTGTCGGTTGCGTCTGGTTCTCGGCTTCCTCGGCGCGTTGCTGTTCCCTCTCGGCTCGGTCCTGTTCCTGCTGACGCTCTCTTTCTGCTGTTTCAGCGCGTTGCTGTTCCCTCTCGGCTCGGTCCTGTTCCTGCTGACGCTCTCTTTCTGCTTCTTCAGCGCGTTGCTGTTCCCTCTCGGCTCGGTCCTGTTCTTGCTGACGCTCTCTTTCTGCTTCTTCAGCGCGTTGCTGTTCCCTCTCGGCTCGGTCCCGTTCTTGCTGACGTTCTCTTTCCGCTTTTTCAGCGCGTAGTTGTGCCTGCAGAAGGAGCTTTCGAAGCTCTTCCACGCTGTGTACGTCGCTCATATCCAATGAATAAAACCCAGAGGGCACAGATTAAAAAACAAATAAAAAACACGTTCGAAGTGGGCTACTGGCCTGCCGTGTATGCTTTGGTCGTTCAGATAAAATCAATGGTAGTAGCCGATATGGTAGTGGGTTATCAGCATCATTGCGGAGCCTCATCGTTGCGGAGCCTCATCGTTGCGAAGGGCAACGGATGGGATGGATGGATACTGGATAATTACCGCATGTTTCTTCGCCGGAAGCGCTAAGCCCAAAGGATACTAGTACAAAACTCACATGCGTGTGCTCCCCGCCTAATCGCCCAAAAGCCAGGTTTGACTATATAAGGTACCTTAATAACCAGCACCCAAAGCAGTCGACTGGCTATGATCCACAGCGCACCTCTGCTGACATATCCCACTGTAAACGCATACATTTTATAAGGCGGTATTATGTCAGAACACGCAATAATTAAGTACGGTAAGGTACCTTATAAAGGAAGAACCATGAACGCGGCGAGCCTCCTCTTCTCAGGCGGTTCACTACACTGGGAATCGATTAGGCGGGTGGAGCTACCAAGAAAGACTCTGCCGCATTAGAGAAACTTGTTGCCCAGAACGAAGCGTCGGGAACGCGTGCCATATCCATATGGAGAGGCGTCTATCAGCGGCTCTACACCCACCAAAAAGACGGCAAAGACATAGCTGGGTTTCAAGATGGGTAGGTGATGTGTACAGTCCAGACAGAAATGATTAGTTCCATCTGATATGCATTTCGCGTTCCAAGTTCTTGAGTACCTTGGACTTGTCACACCTCGTCAACAAGTCCCGGGTTAGCCTGCATAAAGGCCTTCTCGGTGGAGAACAGCCTCAGGTTATTCCTCTTCTTTTGCCGAATTCTTTCGGTCATCATGGCTTTGAATGCCTCGTCGCCAAACTTCTCCCTGTACTCTTCATCGGTATAGCCTTGTTCTTTGTTGGCCGGGTTGAAAGGATACTGGTGTAGGTGGGATGTGATGATCGGACTGACTGGTAGTTCCGTTCTGAGATGAGGTACGCTTCAGCAACAGATTACCTACGCAAAGCCTATGCGAAGCAAGGCAACAAGGCTCGTCTCGCAAAAGCAGGGTTAGAGGAGCAACTCACAAGCATGAACCATCCCAGTTGTACATGGATGTATGGACCTCCTTGGAGTCGGGTGGGCCACTATCCACGAGGAAGAAGCATCGGGTCCCGTCATGGAAGAATATCCCTCGAGACTGGACCCGGTCCTGCGTATCGTCAAAGTCTCTGTTCCATATACGCCGACAGACCATGTTGGCCATGGTTTGGGGCCGCAGGTTGGGATCTCCCGGGATATTCTGCGACCTGCACTTGATGACTATTCGCGTGCCCATGGTGTTTCGTGTTTCGGTGAAGCGGTGAAGCGGTGAAGCGGTGAGTGTGGGTTGAGAAGAAAGGTGGGGGGGCAGTTCGATGCTATCTATCCGAGCTTTTATTAAGAATATATTTCGATAATTGGTCTCGACTCTCCATGCTCCGAGGGAGGCTTCGACGATGCTCTAACAATGCTACGAACACAACCCCTTAAACGGTGATAGGCAGTGGTCTTCCTCTATCATTGATGATGTTTGACGATCGCATTCATTGGTACCTTACCTTAGCTAGGTATGTACAGGTACCTAGGAATCGAAGGTCCTGTGCATTGATGATTAGTCAGGATTATGATCATACTTGTGGCCTAATTACGTGCTATTTGACGTGTAGCACGTGACATCCAAACGTCATGTCCTTGTATCCCGGCCCTTGCTTCTTTCTTTCTTCCTTTCTTCCTTTCTTCTTTCTTACTCCCTCAGTGGAGCGCCGACGAGACGACGTGCCGAATAGAGGGGAATTGTAATTGAAGCGGTTACAACGTACGAAACTTTGGCGGTCCGCCTTCGGATCAGGGTCCATTCTCCATTCTGGCCTTGTTGGGAAAATGGAAAATGGCATCATGCTCACTAGCGAGGATTGGCCATGATGATTCTGTTCCCTCCTCCCTTCGGACTGTCAATGCCCTCTGTAATGGGTAATTGGTATCCAGACTCGGGGGTCACGGGCAGTGGTGCAACACTGCCACGCAATTGCTACCACTTTGGGGGTACGGCGTGATATGGGCCCCTGAGCACGCAATACGGCGCCATGAGCTTGCCAGAGGCCAAGACCCTGAACATGACGCTTCGATGCATTCTTTTCAGAGGACACCCCTCATTCCCCTCTATGCCCATCTGTACGACCGTTGGAAAAGGGGGGGGGGGGGGGGGGGCTGGGGTTCTTCAACTGACCGACAACCTATAAACCGCCTTCCCTCCGTACCATCTTGCTCCAGACTTACTTCCTCGGACCTTAGACCTCTTCCTTCACCATCCTCTATTTCTTCCCCATACACATCGTCCTTGAAAAGTCAGACATCCACTTTACCACACCGTCGGTCTCATCCCAGACAATAGGGACACAGACACACAATGGCTCCGGGTATTCTCGTCGATGAGCCTTCGGCCGCTCCCACCACGTCGGCCAAGTGGGTTGGGAAGAACGATGAAGCACCTAGAGAGATCTTCCCCGACGGTATCCGGACATCGGGCCAACACAATCCCATCTACGACCTACTGCGTCCTTACGAGGACTTCCCCAAGGAGATCACTGGTCCCACGGTCTGGTCCAAGGAGCAGTTCGAGAACCAGCCCGACAAGTGGACACATCCCTTCACCGCCGAAGAGGTAGAAGAGCTGAGCCGGACCGCCGACGCCTTCATCGCTAGCGGCACCCCTTTGACCGGCATCTCCAAGGTTCGTCCATGGGTTACCATGGAATACGACGAAGTAATACGACAAGAGGGCGCTTCTTATGCTGACTCGAGTCTCCCCCCCATCTCTAGGAGAACTTCCCCCTCCCCACACTCAGCAAAGCCCTCGCCGACGTGCGGGAAGACATCATCAACGGCAAGGGCTTCATCCTCTTCAAGAACTTCCCAGCCGGTGAATGGGGCCCCCGCAAGAACGCAGTGGCCTACATGGGGCTAGGCACGTACCTGGGCTACTTCGTCTCGCAGAACGGCCGGGGCCACGTGCTGGGCCACGTCAAGGACGTAGGCGACGACGCCTCGCAGATCGACAAGGTGCGCATCTACCGCACCACGGCGCGCCAGTTCTTCCACGCCGACGACGGCGACGTCGTGGGCCTGCTGTGCGTGCACCGCGCCCTGCGCGGCGGCGAGAGCGACCTCGCGAGCAGCCACGCCGTGTGGAACGCCCTGCAGCGCGAGCACCCGGACGTCGCCGCCCTGCTGACCCGGCCCGTGTGGCACTTCGACCGCAAGGGCGAGGTTTCGGACGGCCAGGACGGGTGGACGCGGCAGCCCGTGTTCTACCTCGAGCCCGGCGGCCGGGGCCGGGGCCGCGTGTACAGCAAGTGGGACCCGTACTACGTCCGCTCACTGGCGCGGTTCTCGGATGCCGGGCTCGTGCCGCCGCTGAGCGCCGAGCAGGAGCGCGCCATGGCCGTGCTGGAGGAGACGTGCCAGAGGTTGGCGCTGCATATGGTTCTGGAGGTGGGGGACATCCAGTTTGTCGCCAACACGCACGTCTTGCATGCCCGGACGGCCTACGAGGACCGCGCTCCCCCGGCGCCGCGGAGGCACTTGCTGCGGCTTTGGCTGTCGACGCCCGAGGAGGAGGGGGGCTGGGTGCTGCCGTTCCCTGATAGCAAGGAGAAGAAGAGGGGTGGCATCCAGGTGAACAATGTCCCGCCCAGGGCGCCCTTGGATGCGGAGTAGACGGTGGAAGCGAGGCAGGATGGGAGGGTCATGATTGAATGAAAACAGGCGTTGATTGGGGGACAAACTGTTGGATGTGTATGGGCGATGCTTTAGTCGTTTCATACTGATTTTATTTCCTTTACCCTTGCACTTATATCCATCTCCTTGACCATATTCCTTATCTGACTCTCTGCAGGTCGGTCCCCAATCTTACGAATCCCGGCATTGACGGAGAAGACAGACCTTGGACTTGGCTTGCAGCCGCATCTCGTCTCACGTCATCTCATGTATGTGCCGTGTGCACCAAGTGCTCCATATATTCCACCGCATCCTTACCTTGATATTTGTCCCTTGCGGATATCCTCGGCCTAAAGGGGTCCAGGGGCTGCATATGGGGGGGGGAGGGGGTTCTCTGGCCGCCTCCCTTATGCTGACGGCCAGAGATATCCCGACGTTAAATACTACTACTACTACTACTACAACTACCTTATGCTGACGGGCCACAACTTATACAACACTTCGTTCTCTTATCCCTCTCTCTGCCTCCAGACTATCCCTAGAATATATTGTTATTAATTCCCCCATCCCACCTCTTAGACTCCCCAGTGCCCAACCCATCACCACTATCAGAAAGAAAATAGAATAAATCCCCCCCCCCTTCCCCCCCCCATCTACCGTCTACCATGGCAACCCACGTCCAAGTCAACCTCCCCGAACCCTTCGCCAGCATCCCCCGCGAATCCTTCCTCTTCGGCCCCTCCCCCATCCAAGCCCTCCCGCGCATCTCCTCCGCCCTAGGCGGCCAAGTCGCCATCTACGCCAAGCGCGAAGACTGCAACTCGGGCCTCGCCTACGGCGGCAACAAGACCCGCAAGCTCGAATACCTCGCCGCCGAAGCCCTGGCCCAGCGGTGCGACACCCTCGTCAGCATCGGCGGCGTGCAGTCCAACCACACGCGCCAGGTCTCCGCCGTGGCCGCCAAGCTCGGCCTCCGCGCCGCCCTCGTGCAGGAGAAATGGGTCGACTGGTCCGACCCGGCCTACGAGAAGGTCGGCAACCTGCAGCTCTCGCGCCTCATGGGCGCCGATGTGCGCCTCGACCCGTCCCCCTTCGGCATCGAGCACAAGGACACCCTCCGCCGCTTGCGCGAGGAGCTGGCCGCCCAGGGACGGACGCCGTATTACATCCCCGCCGGGGCGTCGGACCATCCGCTCGGCGGGCTCGGGTTCGCGCGCTGGGCTTTCGAGGTCGAGGCGCAGGAGGAGGCCCTCGGGGTGTTCTTCGACACGGTTGTCGTCTGCGCGGTGACGGGGTCTACGTTCGCTGGCATGGTGGCCGGGTTCAAGCTCGCGCAGAAGACGTGCGGCTCCCGGCCTAGGAAGGTCGTGGGCATCGATGCCTCGGCGAAGGTGCGGCAGACTTTTGACCAGGTTTTGCGCATCGCCCGCGCCACGGCCGTCAAGATCGGCTTGGAGGAGGGGGATATCACCGAGGAGGACATTGTGCTGGATGGGCGCTATCATGGCGGTGTGTACGGCATCCCGGACCAGGCGACCGTTGATGCCATCAAGTTTGGTGCCGCCACCGAGGGGTTCATTACCGATCCCGTCTACGAGGGGAAGAGTCTGGCCGGGATGATGGACATGATCCGCAAGGGGGAGATTCCCGAGGGGAGCAACGTGCTTTACGCCCATCTAGGCGGACAGCTTGCCCTCAATGCCTACTCGGCTTTGGAGTAGCCGGGTCCTCCTGTTTGACAACTGCATCATCCGTCTCATTAAGAATGAAATATATACCGTCTGGTGAATGGTCCGACCAGCGAGACCAAACTATGCATAGGATCACGACAAATGCCTTGTCCCCTTCCTCTCTCTCTCCCCCCACGGTCTTCTCAACACCTCTTCTGCCCCATCTCCTCCCCAGCAAGATCATCCCAGTCATCCCCACCCCCGACAGCCATCTTCCTCCCAATAAAGATGCCCACCGCCGTCGCCACACTGCTGACGAGGAACCACCCCTCAAACCACCGATCCACAAACCACGGGTCCAGCGCACTCCGCAGCGCATCCCCCACCGCCCACCCCACCTCCCTTGGCAAGCTGCTCCTCAACAACAGCGCCGCGCTCACCACATACACCGCCGCCACCTGCCCCGTCAACAGCGCCAGGTTCGCCTGCGCCTGGTACCGCAGCCCGGGCGCCCACCTCGAAAACAAATGGAAAGTCTGGGTCGCCGAGTTCGCCGACGCCGCCAACATCACCCCCGACAAGAGGAAAGAAATCTGCCGCGCCCACGCCGTCTGGTCCAGCTGCGGGTCCCAGTGCCGCGCCAGCAGGCCCAGAAACCGGCTGATCGGGTCGGACGAGCTGAACGCCGGCGACGACGAAGGGTGGTAGCCGTAGCCGTACGCGCGCCGCACCGTCGTCAGCGCCGTCGCCGCCACGCGGTACACGCAGTAGAAGCTAAACAGCCACCGCGGCACCGCCAGGCACCGGCCCAGCCGCGTCCCCGCGCGCGCCGTGGCCGCTTGCTTCGACCGCATCACCCCGAGCTGGGCACCGAGGTTGGCCTGCATCGTCTCCAGCCCGGCGATCTCCACCCGCAACGCGCGCATCTCGGCCTCGTCGCCGCTCATTACGCCCCTGACCGCCCCGAGCATCTTGCCCACGAGACCGCCGCCGCCACCACCACCGGCAGAAGAAGCAGCAGGGCGCGACCGCGTCGTCGAAGACTTGCGCTCCAGCGCCTGCAACCGGCGCCGTTTCGTCAGCAACATCTCGCCAGCGGCGTCGAGCCCGGCCTCCTTCCTTGCCACGTCCGCCTCGGTGATGGGTCTCTTCTTGCGTTCCGCCGCCGACAGGAGCGTGTGCCACGGGCTCGACACGGCCGCGAAGCCGCTCAGCATCGCCATGAGCAGGATCCCCACCACCCCGATCCTCTCGAGACACGCCCTCGTGAGACCCGTCTCCTCCCACTCCTCCTCCTCGACGGGCTTGCTGGCCGCGAGGCCGCCCCAGTACGACCTCCTCCTCCTCGCCGCCGCCGCCGCGACAGCGTGAGGCTCCGTATCCCGCGGGACGAGCAGCCCCAGGCTCCAGAAAAGAGCCAACCACCCCGCAAAGGCCACGAGCTGCACCGCCCAGGGCAGACGCGGCATGTTCCCCTTCGCAGTGCGCTGAAACCGGTACCCGAGACCGGAGACGACGCTTTGGATCTCGAGGAAGGGGACCACCCCGACCAGCAGGACCAGGAGCGCGGGTATGACGACGGCGAGCCCCAGGGCGCGGGCGCGCGGGTGCACCAGGCCGGCCACCTCGCAGAGGATCAGCTCGGCCAGGACGGCGGCCAGGGCGACGGTGGCGCTGAAGGCGAGGGCCGCGGCGCGGCGGCGCAGGGTCTTGCGGCCATGTTCGGCGTGGGCTTGGCGGAGGGTCGCGGGCGCGTGGGGGGGGAGGAGGTTGTCGTGGCCGTCGTGGCTCTCGTGGACGGCGGCGAGGCGGGGGAAGAGGTGGCGGTGGGCGAGGGTCGCGAGGACCGCGAAGGTGACGAGGAAGTGGCCGACCGAGAAGGCGAGGCTGAGGGGGGACGGGGCGTGGGGGTTGACTGGTTTGCAGGCGGTGTCGTCGCAGCTGGAGAAGAAACCGGGCCAGGGCATTGGGGTCGATCGTCGTCGTTCTCAGGTGGTGGGGGGAGGAGGAGTAATAGGAGGAAGAGCCAAGAAGAGCTGTCTATAAAGTTCGTAGTAAGAAGGAAATAAAGGCAGGAGATGTCGTTCTCATCTCTGGTGGTCCGCTATGCAGTGAGGAGTTCAGAAAGCAAGAGAGAAAGTAGTTGTTGTTGGATGATTACAAGAGGGAGGGGAAAGATGGGAAGCGAAAGGTGAAGCTGAAGGAGGGAGATGAATCGCCCAGAATTCCAACCAGCGGTTAGGAGTCGGGCGGGAATGTAAAAGCTTAGCTAATCTTCCCCTAAACGGTCTAGCTCGTAATTACTAAGCGAATGGCGGCACCGTACCGGATCGCCGGAGTGGGCTACTAAAGTACCTAAGGTACCTGATCCTGTTCAGGGTACATGGACGAGGGTACGACGTTGTACATTGGTACATGGGTACTTGAGCAATACTTCGTACCATAAGGTACCTTACCTTACTTCCTTCTCGCGACACGCCAAAGACCAAAAACATGACCTTCACCCAGAGCGAAGGATATCACGTCTAACAAAAGCATAACATAAGCATACAGAACTCCTCATTCCCATCTACCATCCAACCGCATCTCTTGTATGACCCCGACCCTTCCCATAGTCCGTAGCCAGCCTGTCCTCTAGAAATAGGAGAATACCTATGGATACCGCCATCCGAATTGTGAACGCCCTGACAATAATTGACCCTCCATCCGCCTCTAAGAACAATGAAAGAAAACACGACATCAAGCGTTCCTTTTTTCTGCATCAACTCTTACTACCACCCTCACCACCCTGCTTCCCACCATCCGAGTCGTCATCCGTCCCCCCTGAACCCATGCTCTGCCGACGATTCTGCTTAAGGAGCGCCGCCGCCTCGCCAACTTCCATATCGTGGAGACGGTCCTGCTGATCCCGCCCCAGCGCCTCCTCGCCCGGTATCGCCTCGAACCCCTCCTCGTCGTCCTCGTCGTCGTCATCGTTATCATCATCGTCCTCCTCGTCACCATCATCATTGCCATCACCGTCGCCAACGTCGCCCACCGCGCTCATGGGAAGCACCTGCGTCTGCACCTGCGCCTGAACCTCTTCCGTCTCCGGGCCCTCCTCCTTTTTCTCTGCTTCTGCTTCTGCTTTTGCTTCTGCTTCTGCTTCTTTTTCCTCCTCATCCTCTTTAGTATCCGCCGACGTCACGGTGACCGACAGCGGCGAACGCGACGGCGACGCCGACAATGACGACCCCTCGGTCTGTTGCTTCAGTCGCCGACCCAGCTGGACGTTCAGCGGCTTGATGGTAGGATCGAACGACGCCGGCAACCCGAGCGCCCTAGCCACGTGGTGCGCCTCCTCCTCCGCCGAGTACTTCACCTCCGTCGCGTACCGGATCGTCCGCGCGCTGTCCGTCTCGTGCTTCCCGCCCGTCGCCGTCAGCATCTTAGCGTACGTCTGCCGTTCGGTGTCCTGCTGCCTCTTATTCCGCTTCTTGTCGCGCTGCGCCGTCGGCCGCACCACCACCACGGGGATGGGCGAGTACTGGAGGCAGTACTGGGAGAAGGAGTTGCGCGTGTTGACTAGGCTCTGGAATCCGCCCAGCGAGCGTCCGCGCGTGCCGACGATCAACATGGCCGGCTGATATATTTGAATCTAAGAGGGGGAGGGGTCAGTAGTGAATGCAGAGCAGAATAACAAGATTTTTTCTCTCTCTCTCTCTAAAAAAAAAAAAAAAAAAAAAAAAAAGGAAAACTCACCAGCTTGTGAAAAGTGGCATGCAGTTTCCCCGACGCATACTCCAGTGTAAAATTGATCGCGCGGTTCGCTTCATTCTTGGCAAGGATCGAGCCCATCAGTGCGTGCGCATCCTGCTGATACGACTGCATCGTCTTAGTCATGTTCTCCACCACCCGCACGCACACCACCTCGTCTCCGTCGTCGACCATCTCGTCCAGCAGCCACTGCAGCGCCTCGTCCGAGTACTCATGCTCGTCGATACCCACCATGAACATGCGCGACCGCCTCTTGAGCTGGAAGCCCCGATGGCGGACATTGAGCGTGAGGGACGAGGTGTTGCGCTTAGTGGCCTCGCCCAGCTGCACGTTGTCGAAAGCCACCCGCGACTGGAACCTGCCAAGGTGTTTGTTCGTTAGTGGAAGACGACGGACACGCCTTAGTAGACTCGAAACGAAAAGGAGAGGAGACTAACCTCGCAGGAGGAGGAGAAGATGCCCTGATGCGCTCCTTGTCCGTCTTCTTGTGTGTTCCCTGCGGCAATTCGGGGTTCCGCACCGGCGCGAAGCTGAGCGACGACACGGAGCCCCTACGCCCCTGCGATGGTCGGACCGTCGAATCGGACGCCCAGCCGAGGTGGGCGGAGGAACCGGCGGACGAGTCCCGCGACAAGGCAAGCGGTCGCGGTGTATTCTGACCCTTGATCCGAATGGTTGGCCGGCCCCTCGTCGTCTCGGAACAAGACGCTCGGTTGTCGTCGGTGTCGGTGCTTGGTCCTGCTTCGTGGGCAGGTTGGTTTGGGGGGGAGGCAGGGGAGGTATGGATAGAGATGCGGGGGGTTGGTGAAGACATGGTGGGTGAGCCGCGTCAGCGGGGTCGTCTTCGAGATGTAAATTTTGGAAAGGATACGGTCGGATCGAGTTGGATTAACAACTGGCACAAGCTGGGTTTCCCTTTTCTTGTTTTCTTCTGCACTTCGAAGTCCCGGGAAGTGTAGGAAGAATGATGCCTCGTAATGGTATGGTAGGGAGAACTCGAGTGGTATGATGATACCTACGAATGGGTCCGGGAGCTGTTAGCTCAATCGCGGCTCAGGGAAACCTATGGAGGCGAGCGAGCATTCTCCTAATATCGACGTAAAAAGGTTGCCCGATGATGATATTTTTGTACTTGTCGGATGTATGATCGACTCTGCCGAATGTTTGGGACAGTGTTTGTGAAGAGGGAAGAAGAGGAAAAAGGAGAGTAGAGAGGGAAGATGACGATCGATAGCTCGAAGCTTTGCCGAGGGGCGGGGAGACTTAAAAGTAACCTTACCTTAGGTATTATACACTAAGGTAAGGTAGTGGCGTGGTCAATGCGTACCTCAGGTACATCGCCCCCTGCTGTGGTACATTCGATACTTCGGCTCAAAGATGGGTGACGTCTGCAGATCCTCCGCCAAGTCCCTGGGCAGAGGGCCACGCCAATCAGCCTTATTGCTATCAACACAACATCTTCAGTTTCACTCCCAGAACAGTCGTCACCTTCAGAGAAAGAGCTACCTTACCTAGGTACATAAGGTACTTCACATTCACAAGTTCATCCAGGCATAAGGTATCCTTTATGTCCTACCTCCCTTTAGCAGGGGCTAGCCGGCCCCTTCCTTCCTGAATCCGTTTATTCCCTAAACACCCGTGCGTGCCTTCCGTTTCAGGGAAACCATCAAGGTTGGTGCGCCTTCCACGCTCCCTCACTCCGGTTCCCCCTTCAGCAGCCACACGGCAGGGGCTTTAGGGTCTCGTGCCTTCCGCCCTGCTGTTTTTATGATCCCCGGGGTACCTTAGTTGCGTTATCGAAAGTCGAACGTAGCTTCCGTTTTTGCAAACCCGTAGGGCTGTTATATTTACCTTAAATATATACCTATCGGCAACACACGGAGACGGTCTCAATCATGTCCATCTTGGGACATGGCGACAGATTCTGATGCTTCGTCGAGGTCGTCTGGTATTCTCCCGCGATTGTTCGGAAGTGGGGTGATCCAAGCAACACGACGTCGTCCAAGGGTATCGGCCGAGCGACCAGTTGGTGCATCGGAACCATCGCGGAACCATCGGAGAACCGCCAAACGTGAACGCTCTTATAGCTGGTAGTTGGTATCGCGAGGACACCACTCGGAAGGGAGCTTCGAGGAGACAAGTCTTGCTCCCGCAGGTTCAAAGCTGCGAGGGCTCCTGGTAAAGCGGCTTCCGGATCAACATCGGATTTAGGACACCATAAACAGGCAACCAATAGGAGTGGCAATCCAGGGGAACAAAGTGTGGTAGCCATGCCGACGGAACCATCGCATAACTCGCCAGTGTTGCGCCTCGTTGAGTATAACGAAAGACACGTCTCGATCTTCCATGTCCGCGTAATCTGGGCCATCGCGGTGCTTGTTCGGTCGAGGCGGAAGGGTCTCTTGAACTACGCCAGCCTGACAAATGAAGACCTCCAAGTGTACCGGTTGGTGAGAAACGTTGGATAGAATGGCTTCATACACCTCGACAGCATGAATGCCAGGCTGTACGAGCCATGAGAACCCAAATACCGGCTGTACGCCATCTAGGCTTGGTTTTGGATGCTGTTCGAAATCTCGCAGCCAGCACTTGAAAAACGGAATGTTTCGGTTAATTGGCTGCCATGGCCAGGTTCTTTCTGGTGATGCCGGTGTCGGCATTGTCGGCGAGCGGTGGTCGGAAGTCATCGTGCTGGGGGGAACAAGGCAAGAGTTGGTGTTTCTTGATGGGTAGCTGGAAGGAGTAATCGAAGAATGGCTGGAAAGGGAAGGACAGAGTAATTATTTATATCTGTTCAGGGCTAAGGTAGGCAGCCGTCAAAGCAACATAGAGTACCTATACCTAGGTAAGGAGAGCATGTTCGGTGGCGCCCTATGGATAAAGCTTATCAAGGTGGCAAACCCATGAAATTTGCCCTTAACTTTAACGGAGCCAGATTGCGACTTGCATACCTTTGATAGGCAAGGTTGTTATTTGCGTTGCGACTCCTTGTCCTTCGTGCGGTCTGAGTGCTTTCTTGAACGTCTCTAATGACCCCCTCCCCCCTTTATCACGGCCACAGACAACCGCAGACATCCACCGCGAAAATACCTAAACATGGTCATTCTTCGTCAAAAGTTGTTTCTCGATACTTTGTTCTTGTTTCTCGACAAACCCGATTTCAGTCCGAACCCCCCTTTCCCCTCCTCCATGCCTTACCTTACCATGCCAGCTCCCGCCCCCGTTCGGTCCTGGTCCGGGGGACATGGTTTATTAGGACGCCGTAACGCCAAAACAATGCGAGCTACCATCCCTCCTCTTTTCATTTTCCGTTCTTTCCGGCTTGTCCGCAGATGAGTGGGCAGTTAGGTGCCACCTGATCCGTTCCTTGGTAGTAGTGACGCGTGATTATCGAGTTGTCGGTATTTGTCGCCCTCCCGTAGCTCCCCCTAGGTGTAAGTGCGCGAGAGGTTGCGCAGATACCAGTCCACAAGCTTACGGCCCACCTTGGCTTCCGAGATATGGATAAGGTCCTGCAAGAATGTACTATTAGCATGCCATGTCATTTCGGGTGGATAGCATTTGTGGGTGGTGCAATGAGATGATGACCAAAAAAAAAAAAAACTAAAAAAAAACCTCACATTTTGAAGGGCATAATCAAGGTCGCTGACGTTCACCAAATCGCCATCCAGCAGGCTATTCTCGGTCCACCGCAGCTGCTTGGTCCGCTGCTTGGCGACGAGGAGCCAGGACCGGAGCTCGTCCGTGTCGACGTCGAGGAAGCCGGCCAACTTGTTCAGGTCCATGGTGGTGTAGAGGCGCAGATACGACTTGATGGTGGGGCTGAACATGTTGGTCTTGACCTCGTCCATGAAGACGGACAGGTGGTGCTCGACCGGGTCGATGTTGGAGGCCGGGTCGTCAAAGTCGGGCGGCACGGGGGAGATGAACTTGGGGCAGGCGGCGCGGAAGAGCTCCTCGAAGATGGGCAGGGACTCGGGCCCGCCGCGCTGCAGCTTGAGCAGCTGGTCGCCGTACTTGTCGCGCAGGGCGGTGTGGATGGTGTCGTCGAGCCGGGTGGGCTGGAAGGCCACGCAGATGGCGATGAGCGCGTACATTTGCTCGTTCTTCTTAGTGATCGAGTCGTACTGCGCGCTCTTCTGGAAGTTCTTCGTTCTCGACACGTACACCAGGATGTGGCTGAACATGCGGATGGCGTCGGCGTACCGGTGCATCATCATGTACGAGAAGCCCACGTAGTAGTAGGTCGTGAAGTGCGCGGCCATGACGCGCGCGAACATGGCCTTCTTGTTCAGCTCGATGTCGTCGAGCGTCTTGAGCGCGAGGCTGAAGTCGCCCAGCAGCGTGTGCACGCGCAGGAGGCCGACGATGGAGAAGTACCCGAGCATGCGGTACAGGTTCTTCGACCCGTACTCCCCGGCCACGCTCATCGGGTCCTCGTTCCGACGCATGGCCGCGAGCTGCTCGGTGATCTGGGACCGCTGGATGAGCGAGTAGAGGACGTTGAGGACGCTGTAGCAGCCCCAGGTGTTGGGGTTCTCCCGGAGGACCTGCACCTCCTCCTCATTCGAGCCTTGCCTCGCGATGCGGTTGCGATACGACGAGAACGAGTTGAACTGGTAGATGAATTCGTCGATGACATCCCAAGCCCAGTAGTACTAGTTCATTTGGTCAAAAAAGATGCTCCATTTCATTTGTATCCATCTCCCGAGGAGATCCACGACGAATCATCACCAAAACGACAAACAACGACGACGACAACACCAACACCAACACCAACGCCAACGCCGACAACACCGACATACCGAAGGGGGCTCGAGGTCGATGGGACCTTCGCTGTTGAGAATAAAGTGGAACAAGCTACAGTAGGCATCGTAGCTCTGGAACTTGACCTCCAAAGGGGCGGAGAAGTCGAGGGGTTGGGCGGCGGCGACGAGGCGGGACTGGATGTCGTCGGGTTGCTGGGCCATGGACATGGAGCTGACCCGCTCCAGCTCAGCTCCGTCTTCGTACTGGACCTGCTCCTTGTAGTCGTTGACGAGGGCCTCCTCCTCGACATCGCTGTCGTCATCCATGGCGCGCACCTGGCGCTCGCCGTTTTGGAAGCCGCTCATCTTTGTGTGTTTTCCTCTCGAATCAGGAGTGTTTCGACTTGTCTGCCGATGACACTCCGTTATAAATGAAAAGAAAAAGAAAAGAAAAGAAAAAAAAGAACGAAAGAATCGTCCCGGCGAGGAAGAGTTCTTTCGGCACGCGATACGAGGGCGTGAAATTGGATGTGGGAGGTAGGAGTGGACGTTGGGAGTGGGCGGTGGGCGGTGGGAGGTGGACGTCCAGTTGATGGGATGGATAGTGGGGGTGGGAAAATTCCTCCTATGGTTTCTTCACCGCACGCGCCAAATGAGGCATCACAGAAATCCCGGATTCCATTTTTATTTTCACGGGGTTTTTGCTTAGGGTTTGGGGTTCCGATAGGCGGTTATTAGTCTTTATTGCATGTATCGAGGAGTCACTGCTTTGACGTACCTTCTGTATTTATGCCTTAGTAATGGCGGGGTTGTGGCGGGGTAAATTGTTGCTTGGTATTACTTCATGGCGGGGCAATTACTCAGAAATGAGAAGAAGAAGAAGAAAAAGAAAAAAAAGAAAAAAAAATGCTGAATGTCCTCCCTCCCCCATCATCGCCGCCCAAACCACTCCGTCCTCATAGCGCATGGCTTATTTATTTCTCGGCTTTCAACGGTAAAATACCTCACCCAAGCAAGCTTCGCCATACAGCAACTCTTGTCTTCTACTTCTTCTAGCCTTCCGTCAATTATATGGACTATTTATTACGCTGCCAAGTCCACATGATTGCATGACGATGACCAACAAGCTCCAGAGAACACGGCGAATCAGTCATATCCACCTTATATCATGAACGGTTGATCGACTTTCTCTCCGTATACGAGTCGTTGGAAGAGGACAACCTATAAGTCAACCGCCAGGCCTTGCATTCGTCGACGACGGCAAACAATCCTCCGCCTTCTTCCCTTCTTCCCTTCTGCCGTCTGATCCACCGATCTTCTCATCTTCCGACATCCCACGCTCCTACTCCTACTCCTACTCCTTCTCTCCTCACGCCCTGAAGGTCTCTATCCTTTGAATTCAGGCTCTTCCCCCCTGTCACTACAGTTCCAACCCCCCTACCTCGACAAGATGCCTCTCGTGACTCCCGCGAAGCTGGCAAGCCTGCAAAGGCATGCCGATAATGTTCGCAATGTAAGTCTCGCCCTCGTCTCTCATCCTTTGTCCCTAACTGGACCAGCCATCGCTCACCTGGGATGCAGATTTGCATTCTTGCCCATGTCGATCATGGAAAGACTTCCCTAACAGACGCCCTAATCGCTACCAACGGCATCATCTCCCCAAAGATGGCCGGCAAGATCCGATACCTCGATTCAAGACCAGACGAGCAACTCCGAGGCATCACCATGGAGTCCTCGGCCATTTCGCTCTTCTTCTCCATGCTCAGGAGACCGTCTCCAGATGCTGCTCCCGAACCCGCCGAGTACCTCATCAACCTCATAGATTCGCCGGGCCACATCGACTTTAGCAGCGAGGTTTCTACCGCATCCAGGCTATGCGACGGCGCTGTGGTGCTCGTGGACGCTGTCGAAGGCGTCTGCAGTCAGACCGTGACCGTACTACGCCAGACCTGGATGGAAAAACTAAAACCGCTTCTCGTCTTCAACAAGATCGACCGCCTCGTGACCGAGCTGAAAATGACCCCCAACGAAGCCTACGTTCACCTCGGCAAACTGCTGGAACAAGTCAACGCCGTTCTGGGAAGCTTCTTCCAGGGAGAGAGGATGGAGGAGGACCTCAACTGGCGCGAGAAGATGGAGGAACGCGTCAGGGCCGCCGCCGCCGGCAAGGAGTCGTCGGACTCTTCCGACCACGTCACCGATTCCGGCGAGCTGCAGTTTGAAGAGAGAGACGACGAGGACCTCTACTTTGCCCCGGAGAAGAACAACGTCATCTTCAGCAGTGCCATTGACGGTTGGGCCTTTACCGTTCGCCAGTTTGCCAGCTTGTACGAAAAGAAGCTCGGCATCAAGCGTGGCGTCATGGAGAAAGTTCTCTGGGGTGGTTTCTACCTGGATCCCAAGACAAAAAAGATCTTGGCCCACAGGCACCTGAAGGGGCGAAACCTGAAGCCCATGTTTGTGCAGTTGGTACTAGAGCCGATATGGACAGTCTATCAGGCCACTGTCGGCGGCGACAACGGAAAGGGGGATCCGGCCCTGCTGGAGAAAATCACCAAGTCCTTGGGCCTCACAATACCGCCTCACATCATGCGGTCGAGAGATTCTCGTGTGCTGTTGACGACCGTCTTCTCCCAGTGGCTACCTCTATCCACGGCCTTGCTGGTCTCTGTCATCGAGTCGCTCCCGGCGCCCCCGGCGGCCCAGGCCGAACGGCTCCTTGAGATGGTCGAAGACTCGCCAGGTGGAATTCACGTCGACAACAACATCGTCGACGCCATGGTGTCGTTCAGGGCGTCCAAATCAGACCCCGTTGTCGCCTACGTCAGCAAAATGGTATCGGTACCAGAGAGCGAGCTCCCACAGAACAAGAGGAGGACCGGCCAGCTCAGCCCCGAAGAAGCCAGGGAACTCGCCCGGAAGAAACGCGCCGAGGCGGCTCGCGCCCAGGCGGCTGCTACGGCTGCAGAAGCAGGAACCGGTGGTCGGAGCGGGAGTGGGGTGGACGACGACTTGTCCCAAGCATTAGAAGAAGTCAGCCTGGACAACTTCACTCCTCAGTTAGAAGAGGAGCAGCATGATCCCGAACACCTGATCGGGTTTGGCCGGATGTATTCGGGCTCGCTCTCCGTGGGCGACGAGCTTTACGTTATCCCCCCGAAATGGTCGCCCGCCAACCCTCACTCCCCAGAACCCGAGAAGGTCACCATCACTGCCTTGTACATGCTGATGGGTCGAAACCTCGAGGCCCTGGATACCGTTCCGGCCGGCGTCGTTTTCGGCATCGGCGGTCTCGAGGGACACATCCTGAAGTCCGGGACGCTCTGCAGCCAGGTGGAAGGCGCGGTGAACTTGTCGGGTATCAGCACGCTCGGGAAACCCATCGTCCGAGTCGCTCTGGAGCCGGTCAACCCCGCGGACCTCGACAAGATGATTCGCGGACTGAAATTGCTCGTCCAGAGCGATCCCTGCGCCGAGTACGAAACAATGGAGAGCGGAGAGCACGTCCTCCTCACGGCCGGAGAACTGCATCTCGAGAGATGCCTGACCGACCTCCAAGAGCGGTTCGCCCGTTGCGAAATCCAAGCGGGTGCGCCCATCGTGCCGTACCGAGAGACGATTGTGAAGGCGGACGAAATGCGCCCACCTGCAAACAAGGAGCTCGGCCGGGGCGTGGTCGTCGGCGTGACCTCGTCCAAGCAAGTCTCCGTCCGTATCCGGGTCAGGCCGTTACCCGAGAATGCCACAGAGTTCCTCATCAAGAATAGCAACTCCCTCAAACGCATGTATTCGGACTACCGGACCAACGGCGCCGGCAATGGGCATGGAAACGAAAATGGAAATGCGCAGCAACAAGAAGGAGGCGTAGAGAATGTCGAGGCCGATATCAACCTCACAGACGCCGCCAAAACCCTGTCCCTAGACGAGTTCAAGCAGCAACTCCAGGCACAACTGGACTCCAACGGGGGCCGGGACAAGGAGACATGGAAGAACACGATGGACAAGATCGTGGCCTTTGGACCTCGGCGAACCGGACCCAACTTGCTGATCGACGGCACATCGGAGGGTATCTTCTCCAAGGTCTTTTCGGCACAGCACGCCAGAAACGGCGGCAGTGCTGCTGCTTCCGCCGCCCCGCAAGCCGACGAGTCTCTCCACCCCGTCCACCTAGCCGACAAGATCGCCCACGCCTTCCAGCTCGCCACCGCCGAAGGACCGCTCTGCCACGAGCCCGTCCAAGGCATAGCCGTCACCGTCGAGGACGTGATCATCCACGCACCGCCCGAATCCGACGATCCCTCGTCGTCGTCGTCGTCCTCTGCCTCCTCGGCGCGGGACAGACTCACCCGCCTCACGGGCGAAGTCATCAAAACCACCGCGAGCTCCCTCCACGCCGCCCTGCTCGACTGGTCCCCGCGCCTCCTGCTCGCGATCTACTCGGTCGAGATCCAAGCCTCCACCGAGGTCCTCGGGCGCGTCTACGACGTGCTCACGCGGCGCCGCGGCCGCGTGCTCTCCGAGGCGATGAAGGAGGGCACGCCGTTCTTCACCATCGCGTCGGTTGTCCCCGTGGTGGAGTCGTTCGGGTTCGCGGACGAGATGCGCAAGCGCACCAGCGGCGCCGCGCAGCCGCAGCTCCTCTTTGCCGGGTTCGAGGTCCTCGATGAGGATCCCTTCTGGGTACCCTTCACGGAGGACGATCTCGAGGACCTGGGCGAGTGGGCGGACAGGGAGAACGTGGCGAAGCGGTATATGGATGGGGTGAGGAAGAGGAAGGGCCTGCTTGTGGAGGGGCGGAATATTGCGACGAATGCGGAGAAGCAGAAGACTTTGAAGAGGTGATGGTGATGGGGGATGGGGGATGGGGGATGGGCGCGAGAGATGTCCGTAGACGAGAACCCCATGATCTAGGTGGGATATTTACATAGGGAAGGGGGCAGCCTTTTTCTTACGAATTTAACGCACGGGGAAATCAAAAGGCACTTAAAAGTGTGAACAATTTTAAAAGTCATTTCCTTTCTTTTCGCATTTCCGTTCCATCCTCCACCTCAACTTTTTGTCCAGAGTCTAAGGTAAACCTCTTTACAATACAGAGGCAAGCCCAGGTCGTATAGCTTTCTTTTCGGAAAGCCATCCATCATCCCACTTCCCACTCTTCACTCCAAACAACAACAGAAAACAAGACCACAGCCAGTTCTCTTCTCTCTCTCTCTCTCCGTCCTCGTGGAATAATCGGCGCCATGCGTCTCGTCTCTCTTTCATCCCGAAAGTCCGAAATGATAAAAAAAGAGGAGGGTTGATCATCAAAGTCGAAATAGACAGACGTCATGAGAGCTTGAGCCGCGAGGGTCAGGTAGGGATGATTTCCACCCCGGTGCCAATGGGGAAAACAAAAAAACAAAAACAAACAACCAGGGAAGCAGCCTTTTGGGACGCAAGAGAAAGGGGGCGAAAAAGAAAAGAAGAAAAAAAGGGGAGGAAAAAAAGGCAAAAGAGATAACAATGACCAAAGCCAACCCGACCTGTGAGATCCGTTCGTCTATGTCGTCTCATGAGAGCACAGAGAGAAAGAAGGGGGGTGGTCGAGAGCGGAGCGGAGGAATGGATTCGTGTATCGACGGACCAAGGATGTTCTCTCGAGAGGATGGTGGGTTTTCAAAGGGGAATGAATGGATGGGGGGGTTGCCACAGGGAGCCAAAGGTAGGGAGCAACCATGCGTCGTCAGGGAGAAGCGTGAACGTCTCAAATTCGTTCTCTTTTCTTTTTTGGGTTCCTTTTTTGTTTCCCCCCCCCTTCAAACTCCGGAAGTGCAGTGCCCCAAAAGTTCGTCATTTGCCGAAGATCCCGTCGTCCGAAAAAAAAGGGAAAAGAAAAACTGGTAACGATGCCGGGGGTTGACAATGACAGTAATCGATGTTCCGCGGGCGGTGTAAGAAAAACAACAACGACAACAACAAAAGATCGGGGGCGGCCGAGTTGTGTGTGTGTGTGTGTGTGTTTTCGTTTTCGTCTCAGAAGAAATAGTTCCCCACCCGCTAGGATCGTCCGAGAAAGCGGAAATCAACACCACCACCTCCCGCTTTCTAAGCACGAGCGCCACGCCGACCCTTGTTAACCGACACGGTGGTCCAGCCGTCCTCCTCCTGCACAGGCGTTCCCGGCTCCGCGGTTGTGGGCGTCGCCGGCTGCTGGCCTCCCTGAGAGCCGTTCGCGCGGGAGCCCCGACCAGAGCCGCCTCCTTCATAGCGGGAGCCGCGCGGCGCGCCACCTCCCCGACGGGGTCCGGGCGGGCCATGGCCACGAGGCGATCTAAGCTCCCCAGACGACTGGCGCCAGTTTCCGCTCTCGGCTGCCCGGGTCTTGATGGGAGGAGCACCCTCACGCCCGCCTCTCGAACGAACAGGGACTTTCTGTGCAGCGGCACCAGCAGCGGCGCCGTTTTGGGTATCCTTGGCCGCTTCTCCCGTCTTTTCTTCACCCTCGGGACCAGCTTCCTGGGCGGGCTGGGGAGCCTCCTCGGCAACGTCAGCTGGCTTGGGGGCGGCAGCGGCGGCGGCAGCGGCCTCCTCTTCAGCCTTCTCTGCGGCCTTGGCCTCCTCTTCCGCCTTCTCTGCAGCCTTCTCTGCGGCCTTGGCCTCTTCTTCCGCCTTCTCCGCGGCCTCCTTGGCGGCGGCTTCCTTAGCTAGCCGACGCTCCTCCTTGGCCTTTTCGTCGGCTTCGCGCTTCGCCTTAATCTGCTGCTGTCGCCTTTCCTCCACCTCCCTCTCCCTCTGAGCGGTATCGATAGGTCGCGCAGCGCCGAAGGGACTGGACTTGGCGTCGCCGGTTAGGGACGGGGACACGACATCCGTGGCCTCGGAGACCGTTCTCTTCTGCAGGTTCAGCTTGGGGCGGCCAGCTGGGGCGGGCGCGGCGAGGGTAGCTCCGGCAGGGGCAGGTGAAGTGGGGGCCTCGCTGCCATCGCGCGACTGTGCGGGGGAAGCCCTCGCGGGCGGGGTGGGGCGCATGTTGGAGCGCCATTGCATATCCTTTTCGGCGGCCGTGGGGACACGTTCGGGACGGTCGCCGCGGGGAGGACGAGAGCCATCGTGGCGGGCAGGTCCCTGGCCTTCGCCCCAGGCAGCGGGGGACTCTCGTCGGCCGCCGCGGAAGGATTCGGACCGACCCTCGGCGGCGGGAGGGTGGCTACCGTCGCGAGATGTAGCGGGACGCTCGGGAGGAGGCAGAGGTCCCTTGCGCTCCCAGTTGCCAAAGTCCCGAACCCTGCCATCATCGGCGGGCTCACGCGAGCGGCGCTCACCAAATTCGGAGGGACGGCGATCGTTGCCTCCACGAGACGGCAAATCAGGCAGGGGACCCTTTCGGGACCAGTCGCTAAAGTCACGGGAAGACTCGCCACGGTCGCCGCCTCGAGCTGATGCGTTGCGTTAGTTAGATAGGCAGGGACAATTTTTCTTTCTTTCTTCCTCTTTTTTTTTTCAGTACGTACGTGGATCAGCAACCTTGACACGAATGGAACGACCCTGGAAGGTCTCTCCATCAAGCTGGAGAGCGGCCTTTAGACCCTCAACATTGGCAAACTCGGCGTAGGCAAAGCCCTTGGGGCGCTGTTGCTCGCGGTCCTCGATGATCCTGACGCTGATGATGTCGCATCCAGTGAAGAAATCGGTGACGGCGTCGACGGTGGCGTCGTACGAGAGGTTTCCGAGATGGGCCGTGTAAGGGGGCTTATCGGGGATCTGAGCGGGACCAGCATCGCGGGGAGCATAATCTAGATGGTAAGCACTTGTGAAGGAATTTGTGTGGGACAGCCTGTTACCTACTGCGGTCGCTGCTGCCCCAGGCTTGGTTGGAGCCGTAACCGGCGCCGGAGCCGGAGCCATAGCCAGAGCCGTAGCCCGAACGTCTTTCGGGAGCAGGAAGAGGCTGGGTACCAGTACCTAGAAGGAGAGGAGTTGAGTTGGTTGACTTTTTTGACGCAAGATAGAAGAGGGGAGAGGGAGAGGGAGAGTAAGCGCGGGGCAAACGTACCGTAGGTATCCTCCACCTCATCAGCCCAGGATCCGCCCAAGTCTATAACCTGTCAGCATTTGTCCAAGACTGCAGACCTATAGAGGGGTATAAAGGGAGCAATTGTGATGATGGTAGTAGTGGCTTGAATTGAATAGCCAAAGTCGATGCTTTGCAACGTTCAAGGGGAAGGGATGCAAGGCTGAGGCTGAGGCTGAGGCTGAGGTCAGGGTTGGGGAAGGGTGAGGGAGGTATGACAGACTTCCATCGGACAGAAAGTCGCCAAGCGACATCTTCTGGGTTTCCTTCTTTTTAGGCGCTGCAAAGCAAAATATATCAGGTCAGCAACAAGGCTCATTCTTCCATGTCGGCATAGTTCTATTGACATCTGCCAGCTGCTATGGGAGAACACACCCATGATTGCGGTTAGATGGCCACGCGCAACGAATCAATCGATGCGCGAGATGATGGCTCGGGAGGGGCGGCCTTTTTGGTGGCGATTGCGAGGCTGCCCTTTTGGGAGGCTGGCTCTGTGAGAGAGGTGAGGGAGGCAAGGTCTTTTGGTGCTTAAAGGCGAAAGAGGAGGAGCGACAAGCGACAATGGGTCGTTGTCGACAGAATGTCGGATGGGACTGTGAGGGATGGTGCAGCCCAGACAGAACTCGTAGTTGTCGTGGCGTCGTGGTGTCGTGGTGTCGTGGTGTCGTGGTGGTTGACCAGGACTGGGGCTGCGGGAAAGAAAGGGCGAAGTTTTACGAATAATTATCGGCCGTAAAAGTGAAGACGATCCCAAGTTTGTGAGGGACTTGGGGAAAGGGATTTTTTTGGGTGGGCGGGGCTAGTCCCAAAACAAGACTAGTGTTATTTTTCCATGAACCAGAGGAAGGGTCGAAAAGGGGGGGGGGGGTTTAACCCCGCCACACAAAGCCCCACGTCGGGACTTGAAAAGTTAAAAAGTCCCGTGCTTGTGGCTGTGGCTTGTGGCTGATGTGGCTGCTTACCAAATCAAAGGTATCAAGTCAGCAACACCTGGCTGCATCTGGCTTCTGGCCATCGAGATACTACTCTGTAATATTTTCCGAGATATCCCGTGCACGAGGTTGCAGAGTATTATGGAGTAAGTTGAGTAACCATCCTGCACTCAGAAAGGCTTCATCGAAATATATACACTATACACTGTTCATGATCAAGACGTGATTGGTATTCGTAGACTTTTTCTCCTCTCCCCCTTTACCCATCATTGAATTAAACACGCCCCATTTCTATCCAATGACCGCAAATAATACAGACGAGTCAACCGATTCTCAGCCCCGGCCTCAAGACCAGCAGTGTCGCCAACGACGTCCACGCCGGGGTCTTTTACCTCCCGAACTCATCCAAGTCGTCGTGCCATCTCTCCAGGTTGGGGCTCTCACAGGTGTGTCTATATGTTCTATGCCCTCTCGTCTGGAGCCGTGTATCGCTAATCATATACTCGGGACAGGCGCCACCGGTATCTTCTTCGGCGTCACCGCAGGCATTGTCAGGGATGCCACCCCGGCCCTATTCGGCATAGCTTCAGGCTTCCAGTGCTTCACCCTGGGCTCTACTTATTGGCGTAAGTTCTACGTTCTGACCATGCCCATGCCCATGCCCATGCCACGCGGTCCATGTTCAACGAGACTCACGATACATCACCAGTATCTCGGACCCTCACTCTGCGGACATGGGGATCCGAAGAGCCCACAAACTCTGAAAAGACAAAGGCCAGTGCCTTAGCCGGCGCCACAGCCGGAATGATAGGGGGCCTGATTCGTAAGTTGGCCCTGCGCCCTTCTCCCACGCCCTCTTCTTTCTGCATGTGCTCAACCCCTCACCCCTTCTCCTCCACTAGGCGGGCCCCGAAATATCATCCCCGGCGCCATCGTCTGGTCCATATTTGGCGGCAGTGGCCAGGCCATCGTCAACGCCTTTCACGACAGAGAGGCTGCTTCGCCCGCCCAGGACAAGCAGGAAAGGCCGAGCATTCTCTCGTCCAAATGGAGCCCGCTCAAGAAGCTCACCGACGACGAGTATCGACATGTGATGGGCGAGAAGATGCTCAGGCTGGACGCCGAAATCGCACTCATCGACGAGAAGATTGCCGGGTTGCGTGTACGTGCGGCCAAGGACGCGCGGGTGCAGGCGCAGGCGCAGGCGCAGGCGCAGGCGCAGGCGCAGGCGCAGGCGCAGGGTCAAAGTCCTGAATCCTAGCAGGGCAGCGCGCAATCAAACCACCATCCAGTTATCCGTCTTTTGAAAATCCCCTGCGACACACTCGGACAGCCGAATCAAGACAGGGAAGACAAATAGTCACACGGCACAGTGGCACTACTGTATATGTATAATAACCTTCGCCAACTTGGCCTCTTGGATACGGGGCATGTACAATGAATATATCTAAACAATAACTCAATAACTATTTAAGAAAATAAGAATTACTGGGACAGAGTAAGAAGATGAATATGAAGTCTGTATAGTAAAGGATGAAGATTAGACGCAATTACGATTTTATCATTTTCATGTCCTGACAAGGACATGAATTTTGGGAGGGCCACTGAGCCAGCCGTCAAACGCCTCGCTTATTCATGGTGGTGGGATGTATCCGTAATTTCCGTAAGATGTCTTTTCTGCTAGTACCAATGCACCAATCCGTACCGATACATCGTCTCTCGTGGAAATCCACCCTAACTGATTTGGGGATCTGTCCTAATTACACTGTACACCGTAACTTGGTGATACGGATACAATATGTAATGTACCGTAACCTTCCATCATCATCGGAACCACTTCTACTGGTACCGACCGTTGAGAGTGACGAAGGCTCCCTCCCCCATATCACGGCCCCACACAGACAAATTACGTGTACACGTACTGGGTCTAGTCCCAACAAGTGCTGCCAGAGTGCAGCTTCCCACCAGACAAGGTACAATCAATGTACGTCTGAATACCTAGTACCAGGTACTCCGTAGAGGCGCACCTCCCTCCCACCAACGCTGCGCATCGTTCGTCGTTCTTCGTAATTATCGTCCATCGTTTTCTTGGACTCTCATCCTCCCCTCTCCCACAGCTACTCCCTTCCTTTCGTCCCAGCGCTGCTGTTTCGTCTCCATCCAGTCGCCTCTCTTACTCCAATCTGACAATACATTTGGTTATTCATCCTATATTCTGTGACGCTGTGAGTAACGGGACTATTTCTCACATCTGGGCAAGACAGGGAGGGGCTGGATATTGGCCTCTGCACCTTCGTCGATGTGGCCTTGCGCCTTTGTCTGGGATGATCTTGTGTTGACACCCGACTCTTTCTTCCTCTAGGTCGAAGACAACAGGAAACCAACCTACGAACCGAACCCCCCGACCTCGACCTCGACCTGCACCAACCCGCCCGACAATCCCTCGAACTCTGTTGACGACCATGACACGCCCTGGCATCTAACGGCGGAGTGTCTGGAGGATATCAAGCATGGTGTCCTCGGGAAGCTGATCATGTACGCTTTTCACGTACCCGTACCGACAACATTCCCCGATCCCCTCCCCTCGCTGACCGACACACGCTACGTCCAGCTATGAGCACCAGCTATGAGCACCAGCACCAGCACCATCAGCCCCGGCCCTCCCGTGAGGATGCTGCACAGCGGCATGGCATTGCTCAACCCGACATTCATCTTCGGAGTCCTCGTCCTCATCTACCTGTCCTCCTTTGTCCTATTCGCTCTCCTTCGAATTGTCACTGGCATCTCCATCCAACGCATCGGCTACTTCTCCCTGCGCCGACTCGCATACACACCAAAGGATGGCTTCAAGATTGAGATACGCGGCCTGGGCCTCAACGTCCACCGACCCACATTCTCCCAGCCCACCTGGCTGAGCATCGTCATCAATGAGCTTGTAGTCACTGTCGACGTGCGCCAGCTCGACGGCAAGCGGCCGGACGACGATGATACATCGGGGGAGGACAACAAGAACACCGACAGCCGGTCCGACAAATCCAGTGAAGGGCCAGAGCAAAGTGCTAGAGGCCACCTCAAGATCCCCCAGCTGCGCCGCAACGGAGTCCCCAACGCCAGGAGCGAGACGTGGAAGCATTTGACCAAGCTCAAGGAGAAGGTTAAGCGCGTGCATAGGCAGCTCAAGTGGCTCCGCATGGTCGACGTCGTTGCCACCAACTCCACCGTCAACATCGTCGACGTGGGGAATATACAATGTGGAAGCTTTACCCTCGCCGTCGATACCCGCCGGAAGATGGTCGACCGAGCTCGCTTCTTCTTCCAGTTCCGAACCGACAGGCAAAAGAAGCAGCAGCAGAAGCAAAAGCAACAGGCCGAATGGATTGTCACTTTACGGAGCGTTCTGTTCACTGCAGAGGGAAACGAGCCCCTGGAAGTTCTGGACCATGCCACCCTTAATATTCACGGGTTTCTGTATGGCGAGCCGGACGGTTTGCGAGACGCTTCCATCGCCCTGAAGCTAAACCGAATTCACATCCCCTACGACGACGTTCGCCTTTGCGCTCAACGATTCAAGCGGTGCCGATCTCCCTCGCACGTCTTGTCCGGCTTAGACGACGACTCTCCGGCTTATGCAGAAAACAGGACGGACCCTCGAGCCCCCCCCGATCCTGGCGTAACTACCGAGGACGACATCATCATGCAGGCCGTGTCGGATTCCAAAGAGTTCATCAGCTCCATCCTGAGAGGCATAAAGGAAGTACAGTTTGCCGTCAGCTTCGTCGGTCTTACCAAGAAGGTCGAGTCGGTCAAACCGCGCGCTCAGCCCATTGTCCTGAATGCCTCCATGAAGGAGGTCGGTATCGATTTGCACCGCCTCGATCCCAAGTCACCCGCCCATCGCATGTATTTCCCTTCCAAGGACATCGCCCACGAGGCCCTCGCTGCCGCCCTGTCCATCTCTGTTGGTCTGGACGATGGCGACGGTAAACCAGAGCGGCTTCTCTACATCCCCATGACCACCACTACCGTAAAAACAACCCTACCCTCCAAGACGGTCGAGCTGGCCAACGACGTGGACGTTGGTTCACAAGACAAGAACACCAATATCCTCTTCGCCAATTCCGTCATCACCTCCCCTTCTGTCGATCTCGACCCGCGCCACCTACCTCTCTTGGTCGCCATGCTCCGATCGAAGCCCAAGGCGCATAAGATCTCCCGCCGACCTGGCCAGGGCCACCTACTCATCTCCAGGCTGCTACCCAAGGCCAATATCAAACTCACCATGCACGAGCCTGTCATGAGGATCGCGCTTCCCCCGGTAGACAGAGCCGCTGCGCCGGACGACTACGACCTGATCATCTCGTCCATTTCCTCCATCTCCCTAGACGTCGAGTCGTCTCATTCAGCGCTCCAAGACCTACACTACTCCCTGGCCTCCGCCATGCGCCTTCAATCGCATCACCTCTACTATCAGACATCCGATGGCGGCCGGTTTGATTTGGTCGACACGGAGACTTTCGACGTCAAAGTCCAGCTGAGCGCCGCACCAGATGTCCACGTTGTCGCATCGGGCAACGTCGAGACCTTTGCCATCAAGATGGTGCGCTCAGAAATCATCGACGGGCTCAGTCAGATTATTCGACAGTTGAGACCGGACGTCGAACCAGATAAGAAACGCCATGCCTTCCGGGCGATGCCAACGGCGCCCGGGGGGCATCGGAACCTTATCCGCGCCATGCCGTCTTGGCTTTTGCAGTTCCAAGTGCAAGCATCCGATGTGAGCGTCGAGTTTGCGGGGGTAGACCAAGACATATCCGACGAGACCCGCGGCGTCTCCCTTCAAATCGACGCCTTCTCGTCGGAATATAGAGCCCAACGGCTAGAAGGCCTACAGGGGCGACCCTCTCGCAGACGGACGAATAGCCGCTCGATCGCCCCGGATGCCGACCTGCTCAGGGCCCCTCTGTCGCCCCGCAGGAAGCAACAGAACACTGGCGACGGCAGGAGGTTGGCCGTCCACGTTCGCGGCTTGGAGGCCTACATCATCGAAGCCGCGGATCGCATTGAACCCGAGCCGTTCGTCAACGTACCTCGCTTCGAAGTCGCCTTTTCGGCGCTGAGCGACCAGCAGGGTCCCGTCTTCCATATCCACGCCGGTATCCGGACGATCAAGCTCCAGTACTCGCTATACCGGCATTACGCCGTCTGGGTCGCCACCATGGTTCTACGCAAGGCATTCACGAGGACCGGCAAGGGAACCACTCCTTCTGCTGCCGGGCCGCCGTCGGCCCTCTCAAGGAGAGACTCCGATGCCCACCTGATGGTACCGCCAGGTTCGCCATACGTCGACCCGGGGGACTTTTCGGTCCTGGCCAGGACGTCGTCGGAACTGATCACTGTCGACGTGAAGGCCTCGATGATACAAATCAGAGCCGATCTGCCCCACGATCCCGCCATGCTTCTCCAGGTCTATGGGCTCAAGGCTGGCCGCCACCGCTGGGCTGCGCCCTTCTTCTCCTCCAAGCAGATTCTCTTGTGCGTACAGCCACCGAGGATGAGGGGCGTCTGGGCCAGGATGCTAGGCGTCAGGGGCGCCCGCGTCGACTACCGCGTATCACGGCGGAAGACGTCTGGAGGTCTTCAGGACGATAACATGGTCGACTTTACCTCCGAGTCTGTACGGTTTGCCGTACCTCACGAGGTCATCCTCAACAAGGTCTCCGACAATCTCGTCAACGTGTTCAAGTCGGTCCAACAGCTGCATCACCGATTCAAGACGGGCACGAACGAGTACATCCTCGAGAAGCTGCCGGAGGGGCCCAAGATGGTGCCCAAGATATCCATCCGCACCAAGGTTCTCTTATTCGAGTTGGAGGACGGGGCGTTTGAGTGGAAGCTCGGGATCATCTACCGAGCAGGCCGGATTGAGCAGATGCAGCGGCTGGCCCGGGAAGAGGCGTTCGAGATCAAGCGGAAGAAGGTCCGAGAAGAAGAGGCGTCTCGCAAGGAGTCTCACAAGCATCGTGCCCGGTCTCTTTTCCACAGAACACGCGCAAAGCAGGGGACATCGGGGGCGAGAAGCCAGAGCGCCGACGGGGGAGCGAGCCGCGCCGGCGGAGATGACGATCATCTGCGAGGCAGAACGCCGCGATATGACCCCGAGGGCGGATGCCATGGGCTCACCGGCCATGCCAAGGTCGCAGAGCAAGAGGCTCGGGCGCGACTCGACATGTACAACGCGACGAGCTGGAAGAAGCGGATCGACAGTCACTACGCCATCAGCAAGGACGGAACGAAAGAGGCCCGCGGTCACTTCTGCGGATCCGACCAGTTGTCCCCAGACGATATGGAAGAAGCGGAAAGGATTCTGGAGGTGCCCCAGCGACCGGCGCTTATGGCTGCCATCATCCACAGCTTCCACTTCCTCGTCGACAAGCCGACCTTCCCCATGAGAGACCTGCCCGGGTTCATCCACGGGGTCGGAAAGGGCATGCCGAAGGACATGAAATACAGTCTCCTCGTGCCCATGCACGTGAGCATGGACATGGGCGAGACCAGAGTCTCGCTTCGCGACTACCCTCTGCCTCTCATCCACATCCCCGGCCTCAAGCCGGGCCAGTCGCAGAGGCTGTCGTCCATGTCCCTGCGGTCCAACTTCGTCATCGCCGAGGAGTACCGAGGCACGCAGTCCACGCGACGGGTCAAGGTCGACATCATCCCGCCTCAGAGTCGTCTGGGTCTCGATGCGGATTCGGGCAGGGGAGAAGGCTTTGCCATCGATGTTCGCCGCACGATAGGCCCCATCAAGTCGTATTCCGACATTCGCATCGAGATCAACACGGCCCTGCCGACCAGGCTTACGTGGGGCGGGCCTTGTTACCAGCCGGCCATACAGGACATGATGATGGTCATCGAGTCGTTCACGAAGCCGCAAATGGATCCCTCCGAACGAGTCGGCTTCTGGGATAAGATCCGGCTCAACTTCCACTCCCGGATACGCGTGGCCTGGAAGAACGACGGCGATCTGCACCTGGCCCTGAAAGGGTCGCGCGACCCTTACTGTGTGACGGGCAACGGCGCGGGCTTCATCATGTGCTGGCGCAACGACGTCCGCTGGAACATCAACACCGAAGACGACCCGAAGCGCTTCATGACTGTCGAATCCGCAGAGTACGTGCTGGCCATTCCCGATTACGGGTATCAGGCCCGCGAGGCGAAGCGCCTGGACGGATGCGACGACAGCCTGCGTGCCGAGGAGATCTACAGACACGGCGTCTCGTTCCAGAAGGTCATCATGAAGTTGTCCGGCAAGGTGCAGTGGATGACAGGTCTCGTCTTCGAGCGCGCCATCGAAGGGGGCAAGAGGAGCTTCGAGTTCAAGCCGCATTACGACGTGGTTCTGCGAGCCCCTCAACACGCGGAGCCGTCCTCGGATGGGCTGCCGTATGACGCTTTCCGCGGGTTCCGGAGTCATCACATCCATCTCTCCATCGACGTCCGGGCACCCGTCGACCGCGACTGGATGGCGTCCAACCCGAAGCCCTCTCGGAGTTATAACGCCGTCCATTGCACGCCGCGTTTCTTCACGCACTTCTTCGCCTGGTGGGCTCTGTTCGGCGGGCCCATGTCGCTCCCGATCCGACAGGGCTCCTTGTGGCCTGGTCGGGAGAGGAACAGCAAGAAGTTCGGCAAACACCTCGCGACCATCAAGTACAACCTCTTGTTCGCCCCGCTCTTCCTGAGCCACATCTATAAGCACAAAGACATGGAGGATTATCCGGAGGACGCAGTCTCGGCGACGGGACTCAAGGTCCGCTTCGACAGCTTCAAGCTGGATGTCCACCAGAGGCGCGAAGAGTTCAACACGAGGGTGCATAACCGCAAGACGCAGAGCAGGACGAGCAGTATCAAGATCCACGCGGCGCAGCTGGATCTGGCTGCGGCCGACGTCCGCGCCGTCTCGGCTAGTATTCATGGCACGACGGAGGAGGCGATCCGAAAACGAACCATTGCGGACTTGACGACCGCCCAAGCGGAGCCCGCTGATCTCTCGCGCTTCACCATCCCGGACAACGACCTCACGTGGATCGACATGGACGACTTTGTCGAGTTGGGCTGGATCCTGCCGGCCGAGTCCAACCCGGACACCAAGATCCTGCCGCTGGCCTACGCCCCTCGGCTGACGTATTTCCGCCAAACCGACATTGGCGGCGCCATCTCCGGGGATCCTGACCGGACGAGTCCCTTCGGTCAAGAGCCCACGCACTTCTGCATGATGAGCCAGGACGACGACCCGCGGAAGGTGCAGGAAGAGCTGGTCAGGGAGCGTCTAGCACAGCTCGAGGTGCAGATCGAAAACCACGGGCGGAACGTGGGCGAGGCCGAACTCCGCGTGGTGCGCGACGACGGGAAGGACCCGGATAGCATGGCCGATTTCGAGGCGCTGAGGCGGCACACGGGCGTGCTCAGGGACAAGAAGGCGTTTCTCGAGAGCATGGCGCAGCAGTTGTCCAACAGGTCTCCGTCGAGCAGCCAGGTCCTGAAGCCCAAGTCCGGGTCCGGGCCGGGGTCGAAGCGTGAAGAAGGCGTACCGGACACGTCGATCGACCTGGATCAGGAGTCGATGACGATTCCGTCCGGGGCCGAGTTCGAAAGCGACGCGCAGAATCGGTTCGTGATTCACAACTTGCATTTCAAGTGGAACAACCTGTTGCGGAACGTCGTCCTCCGATACACGCACCAGGTCAGCCAGCGTCGCGGGTTCATCTACTACCTCTCGCGGCCGGCGGTCAAGTTCATACTCGACATTGTCGAGGAGCAGTACAAGGCGAAATTCAACAACCTCAACAAGCCCAACGCCGGCGGGCCTGCGGGCGCCGGAGCGACGCCGCCTCCGGGGAAGGCGACGGATCGCGATATGGAGGCCGACATTGAAGAGAAGATTAGGAGAATTCTTCAAGACGGGCGGCGGTTTGTCAATGCGGACCAGGATGACGCTTCGGGGACTAACAACAACAACAACAAAGACGGCGACGAGGGCAATAACAATAAGAATACTAACAAGAATACTACCGCCAACAACGTGGCCATGGAGGATTTGATGGGCGGCATCTCCAACGAGTTCCGGCCCCAGAGCAGCTACCATGTTAGGATCATCGCGCCGCAGATCCAGCTCCAGAGCGACAAGAATAAGAAGAACGTGGTGCTCGTGACGGCGAAGGGGATGGAGCTCAAAGTGGTGGAGGTCATGGACAAGGAGAGGCTATCGGATGCGGTCAGCGGGCTGGTGCAGCGACGGTTCCTCGTCACGATGGACAGCACGCAGTTCTTCGTGACGCATCAGAAGTGGTTCTCGACCAACCTGGTGTCCATGTACGCCGGTAGCCAGTACGGCACGCCGGCGACGTCGTCCTGGCCGCCGTGGGTGCCGATGGAGGTCATGTTCGATTTCCGGACGGATCCGTTCGGGTTCAAGCGCGTGGTGCAGAAGACGTCGGCGATGCTCAGGTACGACAAGTACAACACGCTGCGCCTCAAGTACAACGACGAGGTCAACACGGAGGACGCGAACGGGAACGCGTCTTCGTCGCAGCCGAGCGCCGAGCGCAGGGTCGACAACCTCTGGGTCGAGTTCCCCCAGGCCAGGGCGCTCTGCAACTCGTCCCAGTACTACGCCATGTACGTGATCGTGCTGGACCTCCTCATGTACAGCGAGCCGTTGGAGAAGACGCGGACCGAGAGGCTGGAGAAGATCATGCTGGCTTCGGACTTTAGCGACCTGAGCGGCGCGCCGGAGATGGTGGAGAAGCTGCAGGAGCGGATCAGGCAGCTGGAGGACATCAAGACGCACTTCCAGGTGTACTCCAAGTACCTGGACGAGAGGGGCTGGGAAGACCGGCTGCTGCTGGAGCGCGACCTGGCGGCGTGCGAGGACGAGCTGTTCTTCATGATGAAGGCCATCACGACGTCGCAGCGCAGGTACGACACCAACAACACGAACGCCCCAAGCGGCGGCGGCGGCAGCAGTAGCAGTACCAGCAGCAGCAGCAGCGCCCTGTTGAGGTGGAGCATCACGGCCAAGGAGATCGTCTGGCACCTCCTCCGAGACACCAACGAGCCGCTCGTCGAGCTCCAGCTCAAGGACGTCGAGTATGACCGGACCGACCATTCCGACGGGTCGCACAGCAACTTGATCCGGGTCGGTAAGGTGCTCGGGCTGAATCTCTTACCGAACGCCATTTATCCCGAGATGGTGGCGCCTTATGTCGACGTGGAGCAACAGCAACAGCAGCAGCAGCAGCAGCAGCAGACTCGCGGCGCGTCGCTGAAGAACGGGACCAATGGGAACGGCAATAATAACAACAACAACAACAACAACAACAACAACAACTGCGAGATGATCCGCGTGTATTGGAACATGCTGGAGGCGATTGCGGGCATCCCGGTCATGGACCACTTCGAGGTCAACCTCTTCCCGATGAAGATCCAGCTGGAGCATGAGGTCGGGAAACGGCTTTTCGAGTATATCTTCCCCGACGTGGAAGGGGAGAAGGCGCCGCAGGAGAGGAATGATTCTCCCTTTATGGTCAAGCACAGCTACGTGGGAGAAGACGAAGACGACGGGGACGAGTCGACGGGCTATCTCACGCCACAGCACATGTCGGACAAGGACGGTTTCAACACGCGGGCGGGGTCCCTGGAACTGCGGCTGCGACCTACGTTGGCGTCGGACACGGCGACGAGACCGAAGCCGATCTCCAAGAAGACGGCGCACGGGATTCACGTCGGAGAGGGACACGGGTTCCGTCTCTTCCGGGCCGGGGCGACGGCAACGGGTAAGATGATGGCGAAGAAGGCGTCGTACGATTCCCTCCGAAGCACGGACAACAACCCTAAAACGGGCGTCAGCCGCGCGTCGACGGGCATGTCGCTGAAGGACGGCGGCGGCGGCAACAACAACAACGCGGAGAGGAAGAGCCGGTTCCGGCGCTGGGGCGAGAAGGACGACGAGCCGTCGGACGACCTGACCAAGATGATGGCGCGGGCGAGCAGCTACATGTCGTTCGCGTACGTCCGGATGCCGTCGGTGGTGCTGTGCCTGAGCTACAAGGGCAAGGACAGTCGCAACTTCGAGGACGTGCACGACTTTGTGTTCCGGCTGCCATCGCTCGAGTGGCGCAACAAGACGTGGTCCAACCTCGACCTGGCGCTCGCGCTCAAGAAGGCCGTCATCAAGGCGCTCATCTCGCACACGGGCGCCATTATCGGGAACAAGTTCAAGCTACGGCCCAACACGGCGCAGGCGAGCAAGCTGCGCGAGCTGGCGAACAGTTCTAGTCTTATCGTACCGACGGTGTCATCCAACCACACGTCTCTGCAGCAGCAGCAGCAGCAGAATCAGAATCTGCTACAGCTGCGGCAGCAAGATCACCACTACGCCGAGAGCATGGACTCGGACGACTCGTCCAGCTTCCTCGACTTTTCGCGGTCCCCTCCGCGCTCGCGCCAGAGCAGCGTCCAAAGCATGGGCACCAGCACCGGCACCGGCACCGTCTCGGCCTCGGCCCCGGCGCTGGTACGCCCCAACAGCAGCCGGAGTTCCAGCGCCGCGAGCTCCCACCGGTCCTTATCCTACCGCAATGTGAGCGGCGGGCCCGCCCCGCTCCCGACCCAGCTGAACACAACCGTGCCGCCTTCCCTCACCATGACGGCGCCGTCGCCGCGCTATGAGCCCCGGGACTCGGAGACTGCGTTTCCCTACCCCTACCCCTACCCCTACCCTCCGCCGCCGCGGCCCATGACGAGCGGGAGTCTGTCGCCTTATGGTAGCGGCGGCGGCGGGTCGTCGTCGACGTCGACGCAGCAGCGCCGGCTGGGGACGACGACGAGAATCTCGGCGCGGCAGGAGTTTGAGAGGCGGCGGTCGGCGGGTGGGGGGTTCTTGAGGGATAAGCTCAATGCGCTGACGAGTCGGATGCGGGAGGGGAATAGTAGTAGTAGTGCCAGTGGTCTTGCGCAGAAGGAGGAGGAGGGAGGAGGTGAGGAACAACAACAGGTCGGCTCGGAGAGCGGGGTGGGGAGGAAGCTTGGTTGGGCGGGCCGGACGAAGACGGGGTGATTTTGATATTGCTCCCCATGCCTTTTGCATTGCCCTTTTTTCTTCTTTTTTTTCTTCTTTTATTTTCTTTTGGTCTACAATATTAGCTATAGCGTCTTACGACACATCTCTATGTTATTTATACAAAGCTTCTTATAGGAAGGGGGTGGTCTAGGGAAAGCATCAACGGGCCTTGAGGGGATATATATTATATATATATATATATACAGGTGGGCTTTGGCGGCGGCATAAAAAAAGGCGAGGCTTCAACTCTCGAGATGTATCAATAGTCTTCTGTCCATTCGTTTTTCTTTTCTTCTTTTTTTTGTTCTTTTTCTTCCATGTTTATATATACCCATGAGTCTTCGGCAGAGAAACAGAGAATAACTATTCAACCCCTATGTCGTTACAGTGAGTCCTCTTGCTTGGTAGACCTGAGATGCTTCGGTTCGCTTTGCGTTTAATACTTGGCATCCAACCGGTAGAAACCAAAAAAAAAGAAGAAAAAAGACAAAAAAAGGAAGAAAAAAATCATCCGCAAGGGACAGGGATGGTAAAGAGCAGGATTCTTTTTTTCTTTTGCAACTTTCTTCTCATCTTCCCGGCATCTTGCCCTGAATAGGCAGGCAGACAGCATTCAGACATGCCAGATTCAAGCTCCCATCGTCAAATCCACCCCGACAGGAGACACGCATAGCCAAGCCCACACATCCGGAGCATCGGCAACCCTAATGTCTCTTCATCTCATTTCTCTTCTCCACGTCAATTCATGGATCCATATCCATCCATCATCCATGGGAGACCGTCCCGTCGTGCCACGTTAGGCATCCCTGCATGTAAAAGTCCTCTCCATGCCAATGCCAATGGCACCCTTTCCCCACGCATAATTTCTACGGTCAAAAGCCAAGAACCAAAATGTGGGATGCGGCAGGCAGATGAACTGATGAATATTCAGTGAGATTGAATGAAATAATCAAGGTGATGAGCTGTCCAACGCCCATTGGTATCCTGAAATGCCTGTCCCTGTCCGTTTTCCAGTGTTCCATCTATCGCTATGCATATGCTTGCCAACGCACACAGTTACGTACGTACAATTGAACCCAGGTCCACTCGCTAGAACAAAAGAATAGAAGAATAAAAGAATAAAAAGCGTAACGAAAGAATTCCGGAGCAGTGGGGAGAGCTCCGGGATAATCTGGCATACACTCCGTAGTGCCGAGATTAATTTGTCGGAAAACCGAAGGAGAGGGCGGGAATTCGTAATTGTTCCGCCTAGATGACAGTGGGCATCGTGCCCTAACCAGCCGAGATCCTCATCAATTGCCAAGGTCCCCAGAAACCATGTCCTAGGTATTCGCATCCTTTGTGTAGCACGTCTGCCACACATTATCGAAGACTCCCAACTTCGACGGCGAAAGGTTGACTTTAGCCGGGGTCGGGACGTCCGCGGGTGTGTGTCAACGGAAGGTATTTCGCTCGATCGGTATTTCGGAGACCTTTTTACCGATAGTGGTAGGCAATGCCAATGGCGAGGATGTGTCCGATAAACTGGTCCTCAAAGAGGAGCTGGTTCGAGAAAAACATCGAAATAGATCCAACAATGTTGCCCTGCCGAAGACGCTGGATAGTGATGGCGAACCCCTTGGCAAGATGCTCCGAATCGAATTTCCACACGTACTTCGTACTCCGTGGGTTCGTTTCGGTACCCTCCGGCTTCGCGTGCCCCATCGCGCCCAGGAATCTGGCCCCATCTCGCATGCACACACCAATGGGCGCAGGTGTGGAGGGGTTTGACGTCACAAGCCGGCCTTCAGTAGGAGACAGGAACCCATCGTGCCGGGACACCATCGGCACCCACTTCGTAAGGTCGTCCACTAGGTCGTCGCGGCGGCAATGTCCAGCGTGCCCGGCCTGGTCGCTGGTCGTCTAATTTCCCTCGCCTTCGCATCGCCATTTCCATCACGGCCATGCGGATGAAATCGGGGTTCTCCCGCACTTCGCGTTGCCGCATTCCTCCGGGCGGGTAGGCAAAGGCAGTCTGCTTGGGCGACTGTGCGGGCGTCGGTGGGGGGCTAGTCTGCGTAGAAGACGGAGAGGGGGGTGGATAGGGTAACCGCGTCGAGCTCGCCGGGGACACGGTACGGGAACGCTGCACTCTATACGTTCGCATCTGAATCGAGGCGGTAAAGCTCCTCGTCGACGAGCGTGCCGTTGTTGTTGCAGCTGCTGATGTTGCCTGGTGCGTCTCGATACGCGCGTTGGTTGTGGGGTTGAGGTATCGGCGGAGTTCAGCTGAAGGGGCCTCTTCCAATACCGGCGGTCGCCGTTCGTCAGTGTAAGGCACCTTGTGGTCGATACTCAGAAGAGATCGCGTCAACAGGTCGTCCGGCGGGATGGACGACATGTTCATAGACGAAATGGACTTGGCGGCCGAACGTAGAGCCTTGAGAGATGCGGTCAAATTCGACTTGAAGGCGTATTTCAGCGGACGCAGGGGGAAAGCAAAGTCCGAGAAGGAAAGCTCCGATCTCGTGTCCGACCCATCCTCGTCCGGTTCCCCGGCCTGTCGTGCACCCTGCTCCTGCCCTGGGAAGACGCCGAAATCCAATTCCCCCGGCTCGTCCTCGGTGACGGACAGAGGGTGGTCTTCCGGCTGCCCAGGGGGTGACAGCACGGGTTCAAAAGACCGCCTTGGTTGCTTCCGCTTACCGCGTCGGATCCGTGGGCTGGTTCCAAAGGGCGTTCCGATAGACGAGAAGCAGTCGCTCGTCAAAGAGGAGCCCCCGAGAGAAGGCGGGGATTCCATCGACGACGTCCTTGTAGAAGAAGGCGAGCCAGGGACGCTATCGCTAACCAGGGACATGGCCTCGTCGACGTCCAGCTCTTCGGGAGGGGAGAGAAGTACGTCCATCATGCTCTTTCCCAAGGACAGACTGAGTTCGGTTTCAGGGACTTGCTGACGCTCGATGACGGCGTCCAGCATCAGAGTCCGATCCCCCCTCCCGTTCTTCCCGGTCCTCGCCACTCGCCGTTGCGGGCGAGGAATGTCCGTTACGGCCAGCAAGGCCGCCACTGCTGGAGGTATGGCCTCGGGTTTATGCACATCCCTCGGTCGGGACGACTTCCTCGCCGCATGATGTTGATGATGGGACACATGAGAACGGGAAGCAGGCTGCTTGGACCTGGAGGAGGGGATTTGCACGGGACTTGTGGGTATTGCCGACCGCGCGTCAGATGCAGACATGGTCGCTCGAGACAGGCTCGAAGGTGAGGGCTTCATAAAGTCGTTGACGGCCTTGCGTTTCGCCATGGTGGAGTGGTCAGTAGATTTGGGGGCAGCGATCGGTTGGTCGGCGAGCGTAACGTCGGGGACATCCTTTCTCCAGTCCGAGTCCCAGTCTGAATAATACGACGAGGTCGGAGGCGGACTCGAATTGTCTCGTGGAATAAAGGCTGTCTTCTCGGGACGGTGAGGGAGAATCGGTGAAGGCGAAGGGGGCGAGGCAGGAGGTGTGGGCAAGGAGTGGTGATGACGATTCCGTTGGCCTTGGGGAGGACTCGGTGACGGGTGTTTATTGGAATAAAGAAAACTCCTGGGGGTCATCATGGCGAGTTCAGATTCCGTGGCCTCCGCGAAACCAGCGGGGTCATCGCTTTGATTAGGTGTCTGATTCAGCGGAGACAAGGGGTGGGCAGTGGACAGTGGGTGGGCACGGGGCTGTCGGGTATCGAGGTGCTTTCGGCAGGTCAAAAATTAGGGGACCACTGGCCGTTGTAACTGTGCCTTGTGGGGTTCAGACTCCAGAAGCTAGGGTCGTGCAAGAGCAAGAGAAGGTGGCCCAGAAGGTTTCCCTCACGTAACGCCAACGGTCTGGCAGCTAATCAGAGCTTCTCCCCACGCGACCCCGTCTAGTGTTGTCTGGTGCGTCTGGCGTGTCTGGTGTGTCTGGGTGCAGGCGCCCCCGAGGTGTATCCCGAGCCAAGGAGATGAAGACGACGCTTGGACGCTCTAGCGAAGCTAGCAGTAATGTGTGGTTTGGTTCCCCGAGTTGATTTTGGTGCAAGTGCTTCGTAACGCGAAGAGGCCGAATGCGTGAAGGGGACGTATCCGTAAAGGGTTGCGGTTGCCACTTAGTACTGGTAATGCTGCGTGCTGGCGATGCTCGTCGAACAAGTCAAGGAGATACCAGAAGAGACGTCGCGTGCCCCGATCGCTGGTTGTTTGGAGGGTGTCGACGGGTGCTGATGCAGGGGTCGTTAGGCTCAATGTGCGACCGGGGGGGGGTCGGAACTTGTCGTCCCCAATGCCCTGCTGCCCCGTTGCATGCACGACGCAGACAAGAGTGGACGTCAAATGAAACCAAGAGAAAGCGACGGTGAGAAAAGATGCTGCTTCGGAGGTCGAGGATTTGGATGGAGAAAGGGGGAGGAGATGGGGAAAAGAAAAGAAAATAGGGGGATGAGGGAAGGGAAGAGAAGGGAAGAGGAGGCAAGTCGTGGAACGCGATAAGGAAACAACCAGAGGCTATCCTTCCCTTTGCTGGGCGGATCTAGGGGTTTAGGAGTGATGGTGGCAGGCACGACTGAAGAGGTACATGCTCCACCACCTAAGAGACCAGTTTCACTTTGTTGTACCTGTACTCGATAAATAGACCAAATCTTATTAATATGTACGACTCTGTGTCACTTGTCACTGAGGTAGTTTCCCTGGCGATCTCAGGTGCGACCTCGTATCTTTGTTTGTATAGTACCCTTTATATGCCCCTGGGTACTCAGAGGCACCTACCCTAAGGTACCTAAGGTACCCAGGAAAACACTGTACACGTAGATAATCCAACCCAGCACGCAGGCACACCTTGGGGTATGTGGCAGTAGCCCTTGGGCAGCAGCACGAGTCGAGTGTGAGATCAGCGACAAGCCCTGCCATGCCCTCCCTGCCTTCCAGGTTGTGAAGGCAATGAGTGGATCCTGCTGCGAATCTCCGTCATACCTTCCCGATTCAGCACCGACACCAATAGAGATCCTCCGATAAGAATCAATCAAGAAGCAGGGACGAAGACGGGGAAGACAAGGATCCGCGTTATGTAGCTCGAGTCAGCCACCAGCCATCTACAAAGTGAATAGGAGAAAAAACTTTGTACATAAGCACAACGACAATACTCCGGCTGTACATTGAGTATATCGCGGCTTCTGGTCTTTTCTGAGGTCTTACACGTACCATGTATCTAGCCTCTCATGGTCATCTTGTCGTCGACTAAGGTATGTCACCTTAGGCAGATAGATGTTGGAATATTGGAATTTCCGACCCTCCTGGATGACGCGGTAATACTTACTTCGTACTCGGTATTCGATCCCTAGCCCTGGGGAACAACTTTTGTTATCTTGAATTAATAGCACGTAGTGCATAGCATCACCACTCCGCCTGTCTATTCCGTGCTCAATAACTTGCTGTCCTCAGAATTATCCCATGTGATGATTGTCATTTCGGGATTTGGGACAGAAGTGGGCCTTGTGCACGGGAGAAGGAACGGGACACGGGACCCGGGACACGGGGAAAAGGGAAAAGGGAAAAGGGGCGGCGATCTACTCCATAATAATAAAGTCCCCTGAACTGTCTGTTTTCCTTTGTCAGTGGGCATGCATGGAATCGACAATCTTATGCGAAACTATGAAACTTTGCCAATGAGCGGGCGTCTCGGCCGACTAGGATGACAGTGGATGACATGGTGACCGCCATGTCATCACGCCGGCAGAAAGGAACAAAGCCCTGTCTGTTCGTTGGGGGTTCGTTTGGCCACATCCACCGCCATGTCTGATGGACGCGTGTCTTGGGGTCGCTGGACCCTGAAGCACCTCGGCTAGGAAAGATGGGGGAAAAGGGCAAGAAAAAAAAGAAGAAGAAATAAGAAAAGAAGGAAAAAAAGAGGTGCGAACCGCGACTGCACGACTGCATGCAATTGTCGGGCTTCGCCGCTTCAATAAGGTAGCGGGCGCACCCCCAAACCCGGTCCATCCGGTCCCTCCCGCTCCCGAGTTTGTTCGAAAAAAAAAAGAAGGAAAAACCCCCTCCCTGTCGGTGACTAAATCGGCCGTTCATGCCTTGCGCGATGTCGGCGTCTAGGCAGTAGATAGGAAGCAGAGGAAAGAACAACTCATCAGACATCAAGCATATCAGCTCGTTGTCCCACGGCGTTGGGTTTCAAGCCCGTCAGTCACATGGCTTTCTATCTGCAACCGTCGGACGATGGAGGGACGTTTTCTTCCTTCTTCTTCGCCTTTTTAGTTTTCTTCTTCCGAGCAGAGATAAGGAATGCAATATAAATATAATAATCACATACCACCATCTCCTCCCTCTCATCTGCCTGCCAGCTTGCTTGCCCAGTCACCCCCCTCGATGCATGCAAGTGCTCTATTCCAGCGACGACCAAGTAGGCACGCCAAAGAAAGAAGGAAAATGTAACCCTTATCGTCGCCACTTAATTCGTCCTTCGCTCTCCTACGCGTCGCGTCGTCTTGCTGTCTTTCCCTCTCTCGGTAGGTGTAGGCGTCGTCGTGCATGCCCGCGGGGGGGCGCGTTGCATTTTGCGGGGAGGGGGTATTCAGGAAATAGGAATACCTACTAGATCGTGGACGTAGGTATGGATGGATCGATGCTGCTGCTGCAGGAGCAGAAAGAGGATTAAGGGGGTGTGGTTTTTTTCTTTTCTTTTCTTTTCTTTTTCTTTTATCTGCCAATCCAAAATGTGACAGTTGAACATTATCATTCGCCTCGTCTTCGTCCTCCGTTCCGCCACCATAGTCTTTAGACTAAGTAGCCAAGCATTCGGACGGACCTTGGGGTGGTCGACGATGCCACCGATCAGGTTCACAAGGAATGATCCCCGATTTTCACTTCCCCTAACGAGTCAGCGCGACAAGTAACTTGGGCCGATGAAATGTGAGGGAGAGGGATGTCATGCACTCGTCAATTTCTGGACCGTGGGGGGGGGGGGAGCAAGGGGGGAAAAAAGAAAAAAAGAAAAAAAAGAAAAAAGAAAAAAAAGAAAAAAGAAAAAAAAGAAAAAAGAAAAAAAAGAAAAAAGGGCCGTTAGTAGGGAGTAACAACCCGAGTCGTGCTCTGAGCATGATGGCCTTTACAAATATCGCCAGGCCATTCAGAGCTCAAGGAGAAACCTCTAGGACTCGTTCCAACAGCGCCGACACAAATGCCGGCCAGACCTCTGCAAATTTCGAAGATGCCCATTTTTTGTTCCTTTTTTGAACAGTCTCCTATCCCTAGTCCGAAGCTCTCATTCGTGTAGTTGACCCCAACGCCAAACCATGCTTCCCTCCAACCCGGTCCTTGTCATGGGCCTGTGTCGGGATCTAGCCATAAAAATCCCATTCATCGTCGCGCAAAAAGTAGGCCTCACACCAGAAATGAAAGAGGAAGAAAAAAAAAAGAGGCCGCATTCCCCATCACGCCCGAGTTGACGAGCTGGGTCCCAACCCATTGAACAACTTGTCCTTCACCTCCACCGCCATGAGCCCCGTCCTCTCCTGCACAGCCACCGAGTTGAAATCCTTCGTCAGCTTCTCGACGGCCACATCCACCTTCCGAGCGCCGCCACCGGCCCCGGCCACGCCAATGGCCGTCATGCTCGACGGGCCCGCGTGGCCGGCGCGGCCCTGGCGCGTAACCTGCCCCGTGACCTCGCGGATCTTGGACGCCAAGTCGAGCATCTGGCTGTTCCCGTAGTCGCGGTTCGTCAGCAGCGGGCTCTGGCTCAGCGTCTGCACCCAGTACTTGTGCCACAGCAGCTCGAGCATGCGCGCCTCCAGCGTGCTCTTGTAGTGCGACACCTCGAGGCTGTAGTACTTGCTCGCGTGCGCGCCGAACTCAGCCGCCTTGGCCAGCGGGACGGCCTGCCACCCGTCGCGGTCGACCGGGCCCGGGGCCGGGGGTTGGGCGTGCTCCTTTATGCCGATGGGCGGCGGGGGGTGGGTGCGGAAGGCGCCGATCTCGACCTTGCCGGCGCTGATGGTGCGGTCCGGGTCGATGACCACGGCGAGGAACGGGTCCTGGTACGTCTGCTGCGTGGTCTGGGTGGCGACGTCGATGCCGGAGAGCCAGCACCCGTAGCCCGGGTGCGAGTGGTACCAGCCCACGAGGTTCTCCTGGCGGCCCTGGCGGCGGCACCCGCTGAGGTACTCGACCATGTACTCGTCGGCTTCCGAGTGGGCGTTGACGCGGGTCTCGGTGCCCTCGACGGGGAGGCGGAAAGCGTCGGTGACGATGAAGGCGTCGCCGTTGATGTAACCTTGCATGACGCCCATGACCTCGAGGTTGCCGCCCGAGCGGGCGTGCATGACCATCTTGATGAGGGCGGTGGCGCTGATGCGGACGTGTTTGAAGTACTTGGGATCTAGAAGCCAGGGCTTCGAATTCACCACCTCCCTGTTCGCCTCCTCGTCGTATTGGTAGAGGGCATCGCGTTTGGGATCGACCAGCTTGACATTATTTTCCAGCTCTAGATTCGGAATTGGTTAGCACTCTAGAAGGGGTATTCTGGCAGGAAAGCTCGTCGTCATGGAGAACGTACCCCAGCAAGCCAGAGGGGGAGCCACGGGCTTCTGGGCCATGGCTGCGGTTCCCTGGACGGCGAGTGCCCGTCAAATGGTCGAATGTGTTTGCCCGGTAAGCTCTCTATGTCAGATATTGTCGACGTGATACGGGGGGAGGTGAAAGCAGTGATTGTGGTTTGGCTTCTCGATTGTTGACAAGATGGAAGACGCCGTTGAAAGCACGCAGCAGCTCCCCGAAGCAAGAGCAAGCTATGGTACCAAGTAACTACCTTAGGTAAGGTAATTACCCCACGCAGGCAAACCACGATTCTTATCGATAAGCCGGGCAAGATGACTAAAACAAGAATCTTGTTGTGGTCCATGCGTTCGACCCAAACAACGTTACTCCTGGTCCGTCCTCCCTCACAACATGATCGTCTGGATGAACCAGTTACCACTTGAATTCCTCAGCCTTCTGTTCCCTTGAACGTTAGGAAACCCGACCTTGGAATCGTTTTACTCGGTTTGGCAGATATGGAAACGGTCACTCCAGGTCCATGCCGCGGCTGGTGTCCAACCTGACACAAACGACTGATATGGCGTTGGGATATGTCATATACTGCCAGGGATGGACAGGAGAATTGTATCGTAGCTGTGTCTGCTAAGACATTATCTTGGTTTGCCTTTATGAAAGAAGAAAAGTTAACTTAATGTACATGTGACGATGGACCATGGCATTCTTTCTATGAGCTTGACTTGGAAATGTATGGGGGTCCAACGTGCCCCTTTCTTTGCCCCCCGCGCGAACACTCGAACTTGTCAGAATCTATTTGGGCCCCTACCCAAACACCCAACCGTATCTTTGGAAACAACAAAGGGGGGATACTAGGGTGCTTGTTGTGGATCGGGTCAAAAGGGGGCCCAGCAAGCACAGCGTCACTTGTCACGTCGGCACAAAGGCGATGTTCGGAAGTTCCAGCATCACCACCGCACCCTCCACCTACATCTACAGTGGCAAAGAAGAAACAAAAGAGATATCTCATTGCCAGGATGAGAAATCCCGACGCAAACTTCTCGCAGCACAAGGCAGGGAGGGACCTTATTTAAGAGCCGCAGCCACTGTCCGTCCAGACCATGCCCCATCTCTTCATCTTCAGGCATTACTCCCCCCCCCGGTTCTTTGCAGAGGGAAGAGACGACAACGCACTAGATACACTTGATACCGACCATGGCCTCCTCACGCAACGAAACCCGGCAAGCTGACACCAAGATGCCCCCCCGCCAGGACGGAGAACAAAAACAACCCAACCCCTCGGCAGAACACACCTACTTCTTCTACGGCTCCCTCATGGACCCCCTGACCTTCCAGGGCGTCACCCTGGCCCCCGATCTTCCGGAATACCGCGACGCCTGGATCGAAGGCTACGAAGTGAAGATGTGGGGTCCATACCCTGCCTTGCGTGCCGTCTCCCAGGGAGCCAGCAATAATAGCAATAGCAGCAGCAGCAGCAGCAGCAACATCCCGGCCACTCCCCCCCCTTTCTCCGACGCAAAGCAGCCCAGGGTCGTCGGCAAGGTCTGGGTCGATTCCTCCCGCGACCCGGACATCTTCCGCCGGCTACAGAGATACGAGACGGACAGCTACGAGGCGCGCATCGTGACCGTCCACTTTTCGGACGGGAAACCCGCTCCCATCCAGGCGCGTGCCTTTGTGTGGGCGGGCGAACAGTCGGCTCTGCGAGACGGAGAGTTCGATTTAAAGCTGTACCAGGGCGTTTTGGGCGGGCCTTCTTCTCTGTAGCTGCGGTTTTAATCTCGTTGCCGGGGAAGCGCCGAGAATCGGCGTGTCCTCGGTGCTTGTTTGACGGAAATTTGACTTGGGAATCCGGGCGGAGGAGTCTCGGCTCGAGGGTCCCAGGAGCCTGTCAAGTGCGGCGGAAGAGTTCGATCTCACAACGGGTCTTCAGAGCCGTAAGAAACACTTAAATAGACTGGACTGATGCAATTTTCCATACTGAGACAATCCCCCCACACTGAGCAGCATTCTTCTTTTTACCATTACTGCATTACTGCCCGTGATAGCTTGCTTTCCAGGTAAAAGACGGCGTGGAAGATGACTGACTCATATGACGAAGCGTGATCATGAACCAACTCGTGCAAGCGGATGTCTTCCAACCTATTCATGTTCCTATTCCCCCTTGCTCCGCCGCAGCACGGTCTGACCTAAGATCTCCTACTAGCCATAATACCGATAGAGGAGAGGGAGGCAACTACGGAGTAATGTTAAACCCATGGGAGAGGATGCGAAGCCCGACATATATCCGAGGGCGGGGGAAGCCTTACCTTGGCAACAGCAACAGTGCCTAAATATTCCCCCGCCCTGGATGAGGAAAGATAGTCTAAGCCCGTCATCTCCGTCTACTATAGTAACGGGGGCAAAGCCTCGTATAACTAGGACCGGACGCCCCGGAGTACTTATCTCGGTGTCTTTCTTGGGAAGGCGTTAATGTCCTAACGGAAACGCGGCCAAGAGACGTAAGTCGGTGCCCACGTCAGAGTCAAAAGTGTCCTTGACGGGGTTCGAGGAGGTGATAATACACAAGGGGAGGATTTTCTGCCTCGAGGCAGGGGCTTACAGGCACTGCCCTGAACTGCACTGCAAACCGCACTGCCCCATGATGAATGATTCTTGCGCACACATCGACCAACAATATCAGATGAGCCGACTCGGAGGAAAAAAATGTGATGAATTGATCATACGGCACACGGTTCGGCCCGCCTGGGAGAGATCAGGACTCCAGACGGTCATGGAGTCCACGAGTACGTCTCATGTGAGTTCAGATTCAGATGATGACAGAGACCAAGTCCGACCAACTGAATAAGGTAAACAGGATGCTACTCAGTAACATATTGTGTACGAAGTAGAACGCTTGTGAGAGCATTGTCTGACTTTCTGCTGATGATGGTAGTAAGCAAGACAAAAAAGTCTTCATAACGGCCTCTGTAAGTATCGGATGGGATCCCCACGACTGGACGCCATCAGATCATCTCACCAAGCCTTTTTATGTCGCAAGGCGCCGGCTTATGCTGGCTCATGTGTCGTCTCCCACGTTCCTCCGTTTCGGCCGTGCTAGGGTGTTCGGGTATAGCACTCGCCGGGGTAGCGAGTCTGGGTGCTGCTCCGTACGCTGTAGAACTGCAGAAATCTGACCGAAGCAATTACCTACCAACCAGCCAGTCTGGCCTCTTTCCGAAGAAAAGCGAAAGGCAAGCCACCTCGACGCCAGGCGTACATCGCCGCATCCCATTCGAGCATGGAGAAAACTTAAAGGATTGCTACATCGGCCATGGCGTCCGAGAGGGAAAAAGGGGCAGAAAAAGGGGGAGGGGGAGGGGATGGGTGAATAATGTTGATAAACTACATTACCTAAAATTTCCTTCAGCGAGAAGCAGACGACAGCCAGCCAGACCGAGTCGAAGATATTTTTGAATCACCTACATCTTTCCATCTTGTGGTCTTCGTCGCAGTAAGAAAAAAGAAGAAGAAAGAGTCAGCAGTCAACAGCAGTAGTGCTCTCTAGCACCAGACTGACGTTTTGGATGTGATGAGGGGGATTAACAGGACGCCACGCCTTATAACCGATTCTTCTCCCCGTCTGGACGAGGGGAACCCATGACCATCAACGAAGCGTTTGGGACCAGGGTCTTGAAGAAAACGGTATTCGAAAGACGACAAGACGAAACAGAGAGGCTCTTCTATGCGCCGCGCCCCCCCACCCCCCCCTCACCCCCCCTTTTTTATTATTATTTTTATTCTATATCCCTTTTTGCAACATCATCTGCATCTGGACCGGACCATAGTGCTTTTGCCGTTTCGAGAAGAATATGTTGAGGACATGGAAGGACCTCTTCTCGGCGCAGCCCGTGCTGGAAGTGGCCGACCTTACCTTGGTTGACTTGGACGACGAGAAGATGAACAGAGCGGTGGTGAGAAAGCAAGATATGCACCTCCTCCCGTGGATGTGCATCACCTATCTCCTGAGTAAGTGGGCCTTCGGATAGAGAGAGGGACGAGCGGTCGAGGCTGACAGAAATACCGCGACAGACTACTTGAACCGGGTCAGCCTGGGCAACGCGCGCACTCTAAACGACGACAACATCCAAGACAACATCATGCAGCACCTCGACCTCACGGGCCAGCGCTACAGCGTCGCCATCGCCGTCTTCTTCGTCCCCTACGTCCTGATGGAGTTCCCGGGGAACGTGCTGATGCGCCACTTCTCGCCCAGCCGGTGGATCTCCCGCATCGTCACCTCGGTCGGCTTCGTCACCATCTGCACGGCCAGCGCCACCACGTACCGGCGGCTGCTCGTGGCGCGCTTCTTCCTGGGCATGGCCGAGGCCGGCTTCTCCTCGGGCGTCATGATGCACCTCTGCTTCTGGTACAAGCCCGAGGAGCGCGCCGGCCGCATGGCCATCTTCGCCTCCAGCGTCGCCCTCGCCTGCGCCTTCGGCGGCCTGCTGGCGTCGGCCATCTCGTTCCTCAACGGTGTCGCCGGGCTCGCCGGCTGGCAGTGGCTCTTCATCCTCGAGGGCGCCCCGGGCATGCTGGTCGGCATGCTGGTCTGGTTCCTGCTGCCGGACTACCCGCAGACGGCGCGCTGGCTCACGCCCTACGAGCGCGCCTTCGCCATCAAGCGCCTCGGCGCCTACGCGCCCACCATGCACGACGACTGCTGGAACTGGAAGACGGTCAAGCAAACGGTGCGGGATCCCGTGTTTTGGCTGTTCGCCGTCCAGTACTTCCTCATGACCAACTCGCTCAACGCGTTCGGCTACTTCACGCCTACCATCATCTCGTCGATGGGGTTCGCGGGCTACAACGGGCAGCTCCTGACGGTGCCCCCGAATATTTTCGCCTTGCTGGTCATTGTGAGCAACTGCCTGCATAGCGACAAGACGAGAGAACGGTCGCGGCATATCATCGCCGCATTGGTGTTTGTGGCGGCGGGCTACCTGGTGCTGGCGCTGGTGCCGAACTGGGGGGTTCGGTATGCAGCCGTGTTCGTGATAGCGTGTACGAACGCGGCGGTTTTGCCATTTATTGCGGTGAGTTGTTGACAGGGAGCGACGGGGACTTTTCTTGCTCCCACTCCACCTCTCTTCGTGTGCCTTCTTGCTGACGGATGTACCACGACAGCACCGAACAGCAACAGTGACGGGGTCGATGGCGACTGCGGTGGCCACGGGAGGCATGGTAGCCATCTCCAACTGCGCGGGGCTTTCCGCCCCGTTTCTCTTCCCCGGCCGCACGGCACCCATGTTCTCCATGGGCAACTGGACCATCTTTGCGTTTCTCATGTTGTCGGTGTTGATGAGCCTATACGCGTGGCACATGTTGGGCAGCCATAGCGGGTACAGAACAGAGGGGGCCAACACGGTGGCGCGGTCACGCGGTGAGGTTGAGAAGGTGGGCGACAGTCTTGACATGGAGTCTGCACCGGCGACGCCTTCGATTGGGTCGGAGGAAACCAGGATTGTGGAAGTGAAGACCTTGGAGGATCTTGAAAAAAGGGACAAGGTGCGAGAGAAAGTGAGGGAGATTTGATTGATGAGTGGATGGGTTTTATAGGCATGGGCGATTCCTTACAAGCGTAATAGCGTGTCGTATGGGATGAGGAATGAGATCATAGAAATTGACGTATCTCGTAGGCATCTCAGCCACTTCATCCGGGCGTAAACAGGTCGAGGTACTGGGTAGAGTGAAGTCGAAGTCGAAACAACGTGTCGGCGAGGCTACGCATAGATGGTGTATGGCGGCCTTCTTTCTCCGCCTTCTCCAGAGCTTCGTACGGTGCGCGAACCTCTTCTTCCTTGCGGCTCTCGTCCTCTCTTATGCGTCTCAAATACCACCGCTCCTCCTTCCGGTCCTCCCGGCACGCTTCGAGTAGGTAGTACCAGCCCGCGTCCGGGCCGTCGTACGACGTTTCCGACGCATCGTCTCCCGCGTCGGATGTATCTTTTCCCTCGCCGTAGCATCCGCATTCGTCCGCGTTGGTACAATCGCAGTCATTGGATTCGTCGTCGCTGTCGTCGATATCTTCGTCAAAGTGATGAGGCTCGATGTTGGCGCTGCAATGTTCGGGTAGCGCAGTAAAGCGATGGAAGCAAACCGGCAGATCATTCTTTCGAGCTGAGCCGGTCATCTTGGGGATGTCAATCCGCCTTGGATGTCTTTGGGAATGGGTGATTGGGGGTCAGTTCAGATCAGTTCATCAGGACTCGGGAGGGGAGGGTCTACTCCGTACGGGGTGACTCGTGTGCTTAGATAAGCTGCCCCGCATAGTCTTCACCGCTTGTGCTTGCCGTGGGAACGACAACGACAACGACGACGACTACAACGCGACCTAGGTATGAGCGCCATCAATATCTGCGTACCTTTTTCAATCCAAGTTCCTAACGAGCTGTCTGTCTACCTCAATTAGCCATATTGATGAGTTAGAAGTCCGCTGGCAATTTTGTCTTCTTCCATTCACGATGTAATGCCAAATGCCAAATGCCAAATGCCAAATGCCAAATGCCAAATGCCACTGATGCTGTTGGTGTCACCTCTACAACCGCATGCCATCTACCGTCTACTGACGCAGTAAGTTCCCTCATCTCTACATTATCACATCACGTTGCTTCAAGTACTTCAAGTACGGAGATGCATCACTTTGCTCCTGAAACCGCTGTCACTTCTTCCACACTCGAGAAGATCCTCAGTTGGGCCAGTAAAGTACCACGTCAGCCACCTAAGGTACCTAATAAGGTACCTCAGGGAGGGTCACGTAGATCCAGTGTCAAATGAGCATCGTCCACCACCACCATGGCGCAAGCTGTTCACTTCTATTCCGTACAGAGTAAGCCCCAATAATCAATCCAATCTGCAATGCAATTCTGCATAGGGTTTAGCACCTGGCTATTTCGGCGTCTTTCGAGGCGGAGGCGAGGCGGAGGCGAGGCGGCAAGCTCTTCTATTTAAGTCCTTTCCTTTGTACCGGAGTTTGTACTTGGTACTTCGTAAGGTACCTTATTATAAGTTAAGGCAAGGTAGGTAGCAAAAAGGGCTCCATGACAGTTGTATTGCACCAGTGGTTAGCGCTTAACAACCCCGCTTATTCCTCTCAATCCAGTAAAGTATGGAAGGTTTCAGTACCTACGTCCAGTAAACGATGCCCTCAGCCCCCCTGTCCACTCTACTTTAACCCTGGGCGGTCTGGGCAGTCAACTCTGACGTTCTTTGATTGATGCTCCCTACCTTACTTGTAGTCACTACTAAAAGGTAGGTAGGTAGGGTTATTCTTTGGGTGGTCACCTGTTTCCCTTCCAGTTTTTTTGCCCTTTCTTTTTATTTTCATTATTAGGCATCGGCCTTGGCCTTTTTCTTTTTTTCCACTTCTGGCCCTTTGCGTTTTTCATGTTCAACTCTTCGACCAACTTCTCCCTTACTTCACCAACAAGGCCTAACCATCCGCGACCAGAATCAAACGGATCTTACAGCCAGCTCTGCCTAGTTCTACTTTCCACTTCCGGGACCTTCTGGGGCTAAGAAGGCTACGATTGATGAGTCGGCCCCGGAGCGTATATATATATATATATATATATTTCACCGTCCATATTCGGACTTTTTTTTTGTCGTTTCCGTAGCAGTCATCTTCTTTCTACCTTGCTCTTATACAAACGCGAGTTCTCTTCCGAACATCTACTTCGGACTTTGGACTCCTCACCTGCTTTCGTTTACATTCTCCAGAGTTGTCTCGTTGCCCTCGGCTTTGGACTGGGGGCCTTGGACCGTACTCGACGAACACCTTAAACCGAAAGAAAGCAAACATGATGTCGCCCTCTTATCCTGGTGCCACTATGGATTTGCTGGAAACACCCTTCAATGGCGGTGACCACTCAGCTCCTAATCAAGGTCCAAACGGCAACACTTATCTCTCGCGCCTGGAACAATTTCGTCGGAGCGATTACGAACGAGATGCTATGATCCAGGTGCGTCCGGTTGGGGAGGACAGGACAGAGGACCTCGTTTCATTCCTCGTTCCTTCTTCTCGTCACCGTCATCGTCCTTGACTGCAACTGAAAATTTCATACTCATCTTCTCATCTTCTCATCTTCTCATCTTCTCATCTTCTCATCTTCTCATCTTCTCATCTTCTCATCTTCTCATCTTCTCATCTTCTCATCT